CAGCGGCAGCTGCAGCTGCGGCTGCGTTTTCTCTCCGCAAGAATATACCCCGTCTCGAGTAAAACTGGCCAGGGTTCCAGATGTGCGTTGTGATACTGAAAGGACTTCCTTATGGATAAAAGAGTTCACAGCTGTCGCAGCCATTGGGGAAAGTGGCTAAAGAAGCAAACTGGGGATGGACCTGCTTCGGGAAAGGAACTTTTATCAACGTCGGTGTATTGCATGGATGATGTGGCTTGTAAAAAGCTGCAATTGGGCTTCCGATCCATAGACGTTCAACATTTAAATGTACATAGAAGTCTAATGTAAAATGATTGCATGTATATAGACGTCGGATGCTAACTCTTTCACTTTAAACTATGATTTTCCATATCAAATTTTGCACTGCCCAAATTTAAAAATACATTCGGAAAATATCTAGTGTTTAAGGTGAAAACAAATGAAAAAAAAAATCAAAGTATTTCTACTGTATGAAAATGTATTAAAAAAATATATAGTTTTCTACCATGCTATAAAAAAAAATTAAAATTTCCGAATGAACTTTTTGCTTTAATCTAAATAAACTTTCAGGAATGTCCGAAAAAAAATTGTTAAACATGAAATACCTGAAAAACAGTCAATGAGAGATGGGCCAGTTGACTAAAAAGAAAAATAGGCTCAGGGTTGGAAAGAAGGGCCCATCTCTCATTGACTGTTTTTCAAAAATTCGGCGCGTGGAGGAAAGCCTAATCACTGTCTTTGCATTTACTTTTTCTTAAAAGAGATTTCGCATTATTCGGCAAAGTAACATTTACCTTTTGTTATTTTCTTACATACAAAATTCTTTAAAATTATTTTTTTATAACAAATAAATTTTAGAATTTATTTTAAAAAATAATATTATTTAATAAATTTATGTTATTTTAAAAATTATTATTTTTTGCGCAAAAAACGTTAATCTAACAATATGAAGCCAATTATAACTCTTTTAAGCAAAGATCAAAAACAGTAAAACAAAATCTTAATAAATTGTTCAAAATACAATATTGAATAATGATTCAACGAAGCATTAGCAACGTTGAAATTATAAAAAAAAGTGTCATTGTTTATGATAATTAAATAGAAAATTGTACTTTATTTTTAATAAAATTCTTAATGCTGTTATAAATATAATTTCTAAAGAAGAACTTAAAAAGTGACACAGTAAAAATTCTCAATTTATAAAAAAATATATAAATTTCAAAATTTTTAAAATAATGATATGATTTTTTTTATATATAAATAGGAGGTTCATTGAGTTTTCGGTTCACTTAATCCTCTTAGATCCACAGTCAATTTTTAGTCTTGTGCTCCTCCTCCATACTTATAGAATCGAATTCATGATCTTGAAATAACTTTTATCACATTTCAACCATTGGACCACCAACTAGTGTGATATAATAATATGAAATTGATATTAACTTCCAACCTAATCATAATATTTTTTTATATGTAGTCAATTTTTTACCGATCTATTAACTCAATCAGCCAACCGACGAATACGCCGGTAGAATCTAATATCAAAAATAAAAATAAAAACGATAAATTACCAAGCCATTGTCATGAATTTCCAAATTCATATCTAATTTAGAAATTAGATGGAAATTTTATATTTATTATGTAAGAATTTCAACAATCATGTTTTATGCATGATTTTAACGTAGAATATTGTATACAAACTACAAGACATTTGAATTCTCTAATTTTTTTAATTTAACGCAATCATATTGAACAATCTTTAAATTTCGACGTCAAAGTTTATTTCAGTAACAGATTCTTCAACGTCAAACTTCGATTTACCACTACTTTCGGCGCTTCAAAACTGATTGTAATGGAGAAAAACAAGAGGGAGATATAGCCGCTTAAGGTAAAGAGAGAATGATAATGAACAAAGCGAGTCCTAAACGATGTAGACATTACCTAGACAGAGAATGAAGTGCATGTGGCAGACGAAATGAAACCGGATTTTTCATTCTCCAAATGGCGACGTTTTGAAGGGTGGAAAGCGTTCGGGCAGGCATTGAAGGTGGTGGTAGCCTCGAGCCCTTCCCTTCCCTTTCACCTGACAAGCTCCAAATAACGGACGGGCGAAGGGAACGAGAGGGCAATGGCATGAGGTCAGCCTCTTATAGATTACATGGACAATTACAAACACAGATATCCATAATCCATCTCAACAGTTAACCTCTATTCCAAAACTAACTTCATGCCGAAGAAAACCCCGTCAGAAACAACTCTTTTTTTTTTACATAACCGAGAGAGAAACAAAAACCAAGGGAGGGAAAAAAAAGAAAAGAAGATATCAAAGGCTACAACAAGGGGGCAAAAATCCAAGGGAATGTGCCCTTTGGTGGGGAGCATAAACTCAAACAGAGAGAGATTTGAGTGAAGCCTAGGTTTTTACCTGGTGGGTCGGGTCCATGTTGTCTGAGACGTTGCCTTATTCCCGTAGTATATTTGTTTGCTGGATTCATCCCAGTACGCCTGCCCCGTGAGGAGGAGGAGGTTATTTATAACAGGACTATGCGTCTTATTGCAATATTTTGAATGTGAGACAAAAATCATAAAGTTGTAGAATTAGCAGTAGTAACCTGCCACCCCGAGGGTAGATTCGCCGAGATTTTTGTCAGATCATCAGGCGTCTGCTGGTTTTTGCCCTTTTTAGTCTCTCCAGCTTCACGGGCTGCTTGTTGTCTCTTTCGTTTCACTTTCTCACGCCTGTCAGATGAGATGGCAGCTACGAATCAAACAGCAGGCGCCAAGGAAAAGTAACTGGAATTCTTTTTGAGATAGGAGAGCGAAAATCCAATCGATGTTAAAGCTTTCAAAACTAAAAAAGGATGATGAACTAACCAGTCACCACCGAGGGGTTGGAAATTAGCATTTTCTTTAGCTTCTCCACTGGCGATTTGCCGAGCCTTCCATTCCTCGATTTCTCGTTGTCTTTTTCTTTCTAGAATTTCATATGCATTCTCAGGCTCTTCCTCTTCACTCTCATTCAACTCCTCTTTGGCAGCTTTCCACTGAACAAAGTATAGAGACACCTCAGCTCTAATCCTAAGAAACTTTTTAAGGAATCACCGTTTGTTAGGAAAAAAAAATGAGCAAAGAAGATTGAATACCATACCTTGTCCACCAAACTCGACACCTTTTTATTTGACCTCAAAGACGATGCAACCGCAACTGGGCGTCTTTTAGGCCGTGCAACTGACAAAACAGAGCCAAAGAGTTGGAAAACAAGCAAAATTTTCCAAGCACCACAACATAACATATGGCAATTCATAAAAGCATACCTTTAGATTGTCCTTTTGATGATACAGTCGAATTAGCAACAGCATCTGTTGATTGAGAAGAAATTGAAACACTCTCTTTGGCATTGGCTGTGGAGCTAGTTTCCAGGACAGCAGAAGCATCAGTAGGCTGAACATTAACAACACTGTGATTAATAGAATTAACACCCGTGTGATGCAGCGATGACTCCACAGAACTAATGACAGGAAACAGGGGAGCAATTCCTTCTTTGAAACTGTAATAAGTTTCAACCCCATTGGTTGTCCCTGGAGCAGATTCAAAACTGGTGGTAGAAACAGTGCCATAATAAAACGAAGATTGTGGTAGAGAGACTTGAGAACCATCAACAGGACCATAGAGCAGATTGTCAGGAGTTTGAGCAACGACATTCCCATAATATTGATAATTGGATCCCGGATAGGATAAGTCATAATGTGTAGCGGACTGTTGAGCATAAGATTGGCATGACATGTATGAAAGTCCCTGAAGTTTATCGGCTGGAGCTGGAGGAACCTGTCCATCGTCCGGAGGCGGTGGAGGAATTAGTTCATTGTCAGTGTCTGGAGGGGGAGGGGGAGGGGGAACCTCTTCACTATCAGGCGGCGGTGGTGGCGGAGTCCATTCCTCACCCGGAGGAGGTGGACCAGTTGCATCTGTATGAAGGTTGGTTTGTTCTGTTTGACCTAAAATCTCGCCACCAGGTGCCTCAAACGGTGGGACAAATTCTTCAACCTCCATATCCACATCCAAGTCGTCATCTTCCACAACCGGTAAACAGGTCTTCTCAAACATTTCATTTGAATCAGTGACATCAGATTCCCTAACTGAATCCCTTCCGTAATGGGACCCGACATTCTCACCAGCCAATTCATCTCTATTGGGAGCTTTCCCAGGATGAGCTCTCTCTCCTTCTATCCCACTGTCTTCGAGTTCACTTCCTGTGCTATCAACTGATTTCTCTTTTTCTTCCAGGGAATTTCTGTCAATTGCTGCGATATCATCCATTACTGCAGACTTCGCAAGCTCGTAGATTTCATTGTTAATACTCTCTTCCAGTTGGTTGAGCTGTTTTTCAGTGTGCAACCAAAACAAGAGCAAGGACGAAGCATCCGATGAGAGAGCCTTAATATCTGAACATCTGATCTCAACCTCCAGAATGTACTTCGCTATCCGTTCATTGCCGGGCAAGCTTCCATGAGACCTGTAATACATATAAGTAGTTAAGGATAGATCAAGCTTCAAAAAGGATAGAGGATCAGTTGCATCCTTAATTCAAAAAAAAAACCAATGAGTAACCAAAAAAAGCAAACTAGGATTGCTTACTTTTCCAATGACCTCAGTTTCTCCAGCAGACGCTCACTTTGCCCCAACAGAAGAGTAGGGAGATCAGTAGCTGCTCCATTATCAGAATTTGCAAGCACATATTCTGATGAATTTCCTGGACCTGCAAGTTTCTCATGACATGGTAGGGAAACAGCAGATGTTGTCTGACACTCACTTTGATCGCCATCAGTTCCCAAAGGTTTGCTTTTAAGATCCTCGCTTTTGTACCCATCATTCAACGCTTCTGTTTGATGTACAATACCATTCACTGTCTTTAAGGAGGTCAAGCTCTCAGGTCCCGAGATAATATTTGGGACAGCTAGAAACTGGCTTGGTGCAACATTTAAAACTAAGTTGGACTCATATGCACCCATGGGTCCAGATTCACTGTATCCAACTGCATATGTTTCTTCATCATTACCCACTAATGCAATTTGAGTAAAAATCTCGGGAACTTCCCATGAGGTTTCGCCAGTTTCTGTATTCCAGTAGTAATACTGCTTGCTTTCCTCATGCAAGATCATCTTCCATTGTGAAGAAACATCCCCAGTAGCATGGAGATCAGAAGAAACCATACTAGAGGCTTGCATTAAAGAGTCTGATTGCTTGTGTAGTCCAAATGAGTCAGTAGAATCACTTGCCGTGACTTTACCCCCATCCTTTTCAGCCAATACATCAGATGCACAAGAATCCTTCTCTGAGCTCTGTTGGTCAACCGTCTGCATCACAGTGTCTGCGTCGGATTTGACATCCGTATCTTTGTGTCCTCCATGAGGAGATCCCTCAGCCTGGATAAGATAAGAAAAATCATCATCATAATCATGTCAGAAACTCACACCAACAAGACCAAGAAAATGTCACAAAGATGAACAATGAACATTACAGTTTATTACCAGGTCACTGTTTTCCAAAAATTAAATATCATTACCTGCTTGGTGTTATCGGCTAATGAGCTATCCACAGTGACATCCTTAATTCTCTCAACCGAATCTTCCAACTCATCATCACTGTACTGCCCAAGTAAAAGCAAAGGATTTTCTGTTTTCTGACCTGAAAAGGAAAAAACTTGACCATCAAATGTTGGAAAGCCCACTGGTCACATTATTAGATTTCAATAAAACTGATTAAAGGAGTAATCATCGGATATGTTGAAGCTGCAATTGATTAAAGTAGAAAGATCAAGAATAGCATTCGAGAAAGTTTTTTCAGCCACCTGTTACAACTACGCAAAAGCTGTCAGATTAACCGTTGCAAGCCAATAAAAGCCAGAGATATACGAACCGCTATGAGATATTCCCAGAAGAAAGCCCCCACAATGCTTTTGAAGCTGCAAAATAGAGCATAATGGTGCAGGACTCATTCAAATACCATAGACGCAGGGTATGAACTGCTCTCATATGAATGTCCCCAAGATCACAGCCACCTTACGCTCTGAGAAGAAATATTCGGCGAGATCCCTTCGAAACGGTTCGTAAACAACATAACATGTCTTTGCACACAAACAAGAGTTCGTTCCTCTTTTTCTTTTCTTTTTTTTTCATTTTTGGGCAGCATTAACATGTCGAATACTCATGCCCCTCGCTACATAGCGGGTTTGAAGATAAATGACGGAACCCACCTGAAGAAGAAGGTGAATTGGGTAACTCATTGAGGTCTGTTTGTTCCCGATCATCTCTATCGCGCGCATCCGAGCCACCCAAATCTCCTAAAAGCATCAAAGAGATAATTGAGTACAACAAAACAGAGATCCCAGGGGAAACAAAACAAAAAGAAGTACAAATGTTTTTTTTTTTTCCTTTTTCGGATTATTCACTGAATTGAATCATATTCCATGACGGATAATAACGGTCTTAGTCATTAAATTCAACTTGCTACAGACTTTCCCAACATGAAAAAGAGATCAGGTCCAACATGAATAGGAATTGTTGGCTGATAACTTCACCTCTTGCTACGTTTCCATGGAAGTTCTAAGACACAACACGGCAATTACATCAATTGAACGGGGAAAAAACAAGAGCCAAACATGCTGAAGAACCCATGAAATTCGCACAAATCTATGTCGAAATTGGATGGAAGAAAGAAGATGAAAATAGTACCAGGGGGTTCCACGAAGAGATCGAGCTTGACACGGCGACCGGCGTTACTCATAGCAGCCAGACGACGATCTTTTCTCTTACCCATCGGAATTTTTTCCTCTCCGGTCGATCTCAGAATCAGAACCGACGAACAACGAAATTCTGTATCCGGTTCCCTTCTGACGCAGCGAAGGAGAAAAACCCTCGACTCGAGTACGGACGTTAGAAGCCGAGAAAGGCCAAAGACGACACCGTTTTAAAATAGCCGCTAAGTCGGCGATGCACTTCATTTGATAGTATCCGGCCCATGCGGCCCACTGAGCCACTAGAAGACAAACCGGTGGACGAGTTCGATGTATTTACGAGATTGCCCTTCTCACAGTTGGCACTTGGTACGTGTTTCTGTTCGTACAGTAAAACCCAAAATTAAAAAAAGGAAAAAATCGAATCGAGGTCCCACGTCAGCGCCAACTCGGATGTTGGAGGGTATGACGGTATGAGGGATTGAGGACCCACAAACGACGTCGTTTGTATTTTTAGGAAGCTGGAAACGATGTCGTTTCGTATTCGTAACATAAACCATTAGACAGGTCTCAGGAAACTCTCGTCGCCGAACGGCGGCGATGTTTTCGTCTTCGTTTAGGTTAATCGCATTGAGGTTCCACCGAACCCGAACCCTAATCTCGCCGGGAAATCCTCCACGATACTTTGCCTCCATTCCCAGATCCTTTTCAGGACACATAGATCAGCAGGAGATTGTTGGATTAAGTTCCGAATCTGGTCCAAATCCAAACGGGAGCTCCAGATCGAGAATCGGAATGAGCTCCGGTGATCGAACCGGGTCAGGTCCGGGTGATTCTGGGTCTAGAGCGACGAGGATAAGGGAGAGATTGCAGAAGGAGCTCGATCCCTCGGACCTATTGATCGAGGATGTGTCGTACCAGCACGCGGGTCACGCCGGCGTGAGGGGCAGAACGGACGGGGAGACTCATTTCAACGTGAAGATAGTCTGTGAGGGATTTGAAGGGATGAATCTGGTGAAGAGGCACAGGATGGTGTACGATCTGCTGCGAGACGAGCTGGAGAGTGGACTGCACGCGCTCTCCATCGTGGCGAAGACGCCGTCGGAGTCCGATCGTTGAGCATTCTCCTCCGCCACCGGTACGTACGACTATTTCTCCGTGAGAGTTGGAAACATACTCTTGAGTGTTCATGTTTCTGTAGAATCTTATTTGACATTGGAACAATGCGTTTGGTTGAAAAAGAGCAAAATGGCGATTCCCTCCCAGACGATGAAGCCTTTGTTCTTCTCCGCATGTGTTCATGTGGCCTCCACATGCACGTAAAGGAGTCACCTTCACTCACGCATGTAATAAATTCTCCAGCTTTCTGTCAGTTTCTCAAAACCCATTGAAGCTTCCTGTTTGGTGATGAAATTTTCCATGTCTCTCCATGATTTATTGTATGTTTTCTAGTGTCCCACAAAAGAAAAACAGAAACCTTAGAATGATTGCATCTTTCCGATGTGTTATTTCTCCCCCTAGCATTATCTGATCATGAGGACGCAAACGCTGTTGCGGTTGGGCCGTGGAAGGCAGCGTTTGTGTTCCTGGACGCAATCCCTCTCATGGCCCCTGAATTTATGGATAACCTAAATTGAAGTTTGAACTTTGAAGTAAACGTCAATCTGACCGTTTAACTCGATACTTGTTGGAAGAAACAGTGAAGTCTCTCTAATGGCAGACGGAAAGGCAAACAGAGATTCTACTCCCCATAGCTTTCTGAAACAGACAGGAGGTGATGATGAAGTGGGAAAATCGGAGCAACACTAGTCATCGGATAATCAAATACTGCTTGTTAGCGAAGGAGATTTCTCCTTCTCTCTCAGCTTAACAAAATCCTTGTGCTCTGCTTTCATCATCTGTGCTTCGTCTCTCTCTGTGTGTTTATAAACGCATGCATCTCATTTCATGGAGTTCGGATTTGCATTGGCTCTGTTTCCGTTTCCGTTTCCGTTTCGTATTCATGTTCTAGGGTTTTTCCGGGTTTTGCTTTCGTTTTCACCCGGAGATTCAAAGTTTTCGACTTTTATGTGATCGGCTCCATGTTCTGCTTGACTAATGATGCTATGCACATTGAAATCTCACTGCTGATGATCTGTTTGGACTTTGGAAATGTGAAATCTCCTCTAAATGATGATTGTTTCTGCAATGTTATTGCATGTCGTATCTTGTTTTTTTTTTTACGTTGTTTTTATTTGCTTCTGCTCTGCCTTCTTGAATAGTTTTGCTGTAATACTCTCCCTGGACCAGAAGGTATGTAGATGTTTGACCGCTGAAAAGAACAACAAACATTAGATAAAAAGGGATGTTCACTTAGGTGCAAAAATCTAAATAAAAAAAAAAGGGGAACAAAAATCAAATATCTTCATTTCCTTTTCTTCGTTTACTCGAAGAGATTGTAACCCACATGTCGTATTTAAAAATGTACTTGATGTTTATAAAATTCTATCTTTTTTCTCAAAATATCAATAGATTAATATAAATACATTTAAACTTTAATGCATCACAATATATATATATAATGTATAGAATTAATCTTTTACAATTTTTGGAAACGTCCACACAATCATTACATTATTTACTTAGGTTCCTTGTGTGGTCACCATACCGTGTAACTTAACTAGTTGACATATATTTATAAAACTACAAAGATCCAAAATGGTGGAAAAATGGTAACGTGATGATAATCAAACGGTTAAAATATGTAATCAAAAGCATATGACTGCGCAAAAGGAAATATAAAAATGAGAAATCAGACAAGAGGAGCTACGAGGAAAGTGATACTGTTGTCATATAACTTTATAATAAACATTTTATAAAAAAAAACTATATAATAAACAAAGTCCAAGCAGGCAAATACTCTTACCTAATCAAAGATGTTATAATATTTAAACTGGAAGATTTCATGGAATTTGCTTACGACTCGGTCTCCGCAACCGCGGTTCGGTTCGGTTCGGTTGACTAAAACAAAAACATTATGAAAATAAAAACAGATATATGTGTGTGTATATATATTATATATATTAACAGTAATTAAATAACATCTAAGGATCTATAGGTCTCCCTATAAAATGCTTCTCCGACATCATCTATAAATCATTCAAATCTGGAAATTTTCTCCCTAACCCTTTGTTAATTTAGTTCATCGGAATATTCTGACCGGCGATTTTCCGGCAAGATGAGGGTAAGAGCCTCTCGCTTCCGTTTTCTTCTCCGGACCATTTCTTGTGAAGCAAGGAACCGTATAATATATATATGTGTATGTAAAGAAACTAGAAATTTTATAAAACACCTTTTTAATTGATGGCTTTTTCATATTCGATATATTCAGCAAAGGATAGTTCTGAAGGTGGCGATGACTGATAGCCCTAAATCCAGATCCAAGGCTATGAAAATTGCGTCAGGAACATCTGGTACGGTAACCCTTTTGCTTGCTCCATAAGTTAGGGTTTTCTTCACATGAAAAAACAAAGCCAGAAATATAAAACTTTGAATCCTGCTTACCACAAATACGTGTAACTAGACTGCACAAACAAACAAAAATGCTTACAGGTTAACAAAATGTAATACGTTGAAACTTTTCGCCATTCCTTCAAGTAACTTGCGGAACAAGATAGGGTTTTTTTTCTCTCTCATAATTTTGCCATTTTAGGCGTGAGATCAGTGTCGATTCAAGGAGAAAACGATCAACTGGTGGTGTTGGGGGAAGAGATCGACACTGTGGAGCTGACACGAGAGCTGAGGAAGAAAGTCGGCCATGCCAAGATCGTGACCGTACAGGCGGCGCCTCCGCCTCCGCTACAGCAGAACGAGCCGCCGAGGAGATGCCATTGCGAGATTCCGAACTCGGGTTTCTGCGAATTCTGCCGGAATCTCAGAAGTCAAGCCCTTTATTACACTCTTCCTCCTCCTCCTCCTCCGCCCTACTACGGTGTTTGTCGCGACACCTACAGTGATGGTTGCTCTGTCATGTGAATTCTATAGTCTTGCTCTTGTCTCTGTGTAAATCATTTGGCAATGTAAATATATTTTTTTTCTTTTTGCTGGTTGGCTCTGTAAATATTGCTCGCATTCGATTCATTCAAGATTTGTAACGAATGTTTATTTACCCATATATATTTGTGATATCATCAATTTCCATGGTCCGATCGACCAAGTGTTTAACAAAAACTCCGACTCTCTCTCTCTCTATATATATATATATATATATATTTGCTGAATTGGAGAATATATAAATATTAGATTATTAATTGATATAATTTATAGTGATATTTAATGATCTAATATTTATATATATATTTTTCTTTTGGAGAATTTTGCAGTTGTGGTCTTTAGAAAACTACAAATACATTTATGTTTGCCCATTCTAAACCAATTATAATTAACCTTTTGAAGTTTAATTACACGAAATAAATAGATTATGAATTATTAAATGAGATTTTCAAATAAGAAATGACATATCTAAATGGAAAGTGAAGGTATTTCATGTTTCAGAATGTAAAGAAAGTCAAGTCTTCTATCATTTTCGAGAAAGGACTTCACTTGCCTTCTATTCCAAGTACTAGTTGATTTGATAGCGATCTCTCTCTCTCTCTCTCTCTCTCTCTCTATATATATATATATATATATATATATATATATATATATATGCGAATGCATATAGAAATAATATGTTGGAGAAATAAATGTCCTAGTCATTGGAATTTGAAAGCGTCATAGAACCATTAAAATTTAATGCCCTTAATGTGACGGGCCGTCCAATTAAATATTGATGTTTTGAGTTAAAAATAAAACAATATATAAATAAATTCATTTATCCTCAGCTTTAAATTGGAATTCTCTGTAATGCAAATAGCTCTCTATATACAAGCCCATTGGTCAGAAAATCGGGCCTTTGCTTCACGAACGACCCTCTTGTCGTTTTCCAAAACTTTATGGTAAAGGGAAAAAACATGAAAATATTTCCGCAGCTTAAGAATTGGTATCGTCCTAAAAGACAACATAAATATGAAATGGAGAGATGAATGTGATTACAACCTTCCCATTGTCTAAGAGGCTATAAGTACAAAAAAAAAAAAACCCAAGGTTCGGATCGAGAATCATTTGTTTATGTTTTAGGGAGTTCTGTTTTTTTTTTTTTGGGTAGTAAAAAATACCTTCAGCCGCCGAAAAGAAAGCCGGCGGCCTGTTCTTCGTTGCCGTCAAATAGTTTGAGAGACTGTATCACTGCGTCTCGGGGGAAGCCTAGCTCCACAAGCTTTGCTACCTTGGCTTCAAATTCAGGTCCCTGTGGCTGTGGCAATGCAATCGTCGCGGATTATGCAATGATGTTTTGAGTGTTCCAATAACGGAAATCAAATCAGACAAGACAGAGTGAGTTACCTGTGATGGGTCTTGTCTTGTGGCTCCTGGAAACAGGAGACAAATCATAGTCAGAAGCAAAAGTGTCGCATGCAAAATGAGGTTGATGAAAGTTCTCTTTGCTTAACAGATTCAAACGGGGAGATTCTATACCAATCCCAATTGAACTCGAATCTCACAAAAAACATAAGCATATCAGAATCTTCCTCCAGATTCCGAAAACTGACCTGAAGGTAGACTTGCTGCTGGGGTCATATCAGTCTTTTTCTTCTCGGTTAACCCCGATGACACCTACAAAAAAGATCTACTTGAGGGGGTAGATATTCCACTAATGCTGCTTTACATTCACATGGTTAAACTTGATTTTGTTTTTTTGGAAATTCATACTTTGTTCATATGAACAACGCAATCTCTTAATTCCCATCAAGACGCCATCAACTAATGCCGTACATTCAATTACAGGAGATTAAGCTTACCGCTGCTCCTGAGCTGGATGCTTGATTCAAAAGACGTTCTTCATCCAAAAATCGAGAAGGGATGTCTTTCTCTGAAGTACATAAATTTTTTATCACGTGAATTTTCAATTAGGCAGATATTAGATTAACAGTAAGCACATTCAAGTCGAACTTTGCAGATTGAGAATGTAAAATAACCTTGCAAAAAGGGAACGGAAACTTCCCCTCCTCCAACTTTTAAGACATTCTCCTTCAAATCAATGATGCACTACAAGAGGAAAAAAACAAGTTTTTTGGCAGAAAAGGATCAAAATACAGAGGTCATAATTACGGAAAGCATTGTGGTGGTGATGTTTACCTGATGCTTACGAAGCATATCCAGGCCAAAGAGGAATTCCATGTTTGGCGAGTCCAGTACCACAAATGAGCACGGGTAAAAATTATTCCCAATCTACATGGAAAGATATTTTACTTCCTCTTACCAACAATGATGAATCAGTAGTAAATGGGCAATTGAAAAGAAAAAAAGAAAACAGCTACTCAAGTAGAGATAGTAAGCAAACGCAGGTGTTAACCTTAATCGGGGCGACATGAATGCGGCCCAGTATCTCTGATTGCCCAACACCATGAGCAATACCTTTATAGCGTTGATCCATGAGTCTCAGCAATCTGAAAGTAAGTTTTCATGAATAGGTTGCAAAGAAGATCCATAACAATTCAATTCTTCACAACAGAACCGGAGAAAATATAGAATCAGAAGCCACAGTTACCCGCATCTCTCAGCACAACTCTTTGATATGATTGTTGATTGTGCACCACTATCAACGAAAGCCTGAAGCAGAAGTGTCGTTGCAAAACGTGTTTTTAAAAGTTTCGATCAAAGAAGCAGTAAAGAAACAGATTTCATTTAACCACGAAAAAATGTCAAAACAATTCTGCTTTTACTTCGGTAAAAGATAAAGAGAGAAAAAATAAATGAATGGAGATCAAACTAGTAAACTGATCAAAAGTTTTGTTTTGGGTTCTATATTTGTTACCTTTAAAGGTACACCATTGACCTCCATGTCCACGTATAGCATTACCTGGAAAGATGAAAAAAGAAACTACCAGTTTCATGAAAAAGAATCTAAAAGGAAGGCAGAAATACATACTTGACCAGGAGCATACATACCACCCGAGCAAAACCTTCTGGATTATACTCAAGTGCAGCTTCCCAGTTCTCATCAATACCTTTCTGCGTGTAATATCAAGACAACAAGGAAAACAAGAAATAACATGTCAAGATCATCGGAAAGTTAAGAACAAAACAATAACCTAGGATAAAAGAGGGATCATATCAGAGAACTAATTACAAAGCATAAATAGCTCTATATAAGAAATGTCACAAAGGAATTCATGGTAGCGTAAACAGCCAAAATATACACGATTTTGCACAGAGTTATCCGTTTTATATACGTAGATCAAATGTACGCTAATAATAAATGACCAGGTCGTTTTTATCTCGAACATTAACGAATTCATTGTAAGTTTTCCGGGGTCAACGGCGACACTTTCTAATGTGTTATGCATGTGTTGAAATCAGCAAACTTACAAAGAATTCGTAAATATTCAGGATGAAACAAGAAGATCATGCATTTTTAGCATATTTTCTATCTATGTTTAAAATGGATGACATGTTACAAAATTGTATATATCATGATTGTTTACCCTTGATAGTAATCTTGAACATATTGAGATAATAACCAAAAAAAATCCCCAGACTGCAAAAAGAAAAACTGACCTGCCGAATGGCAGCTTCAATTTTCTTCTGTGCTTCAACATCAAAAGGATCCGCATAAAGAAGGGCCTACAATGCGGCAGAAAAGGCATATGTAAGCAGGCTTCCATCACAATAGCAGTACTATATTTTCAACATGAAAAGCTACTCAAAGGCTAGTGCCTCCCTTCGAGTGAAATTTAACTGAAGTTTTGAAAAATCTTACAAGCTCCTCCTCCTTCTGACGTTGTAATTCAGATCTATGGCGGTGCCTTGAGCGCAAAATATCTTGCAACTTGTTCAAATTGTTTCCAGAAATAGCTTGTGCAAGCTCAGGATCTGTCTGCAGTTTACATTATCAATGGGAACAACCAGGTAAAAAGAAAGACCAAAAACTAAACACACCCTCTCCGTTTCACCATGGCAGCATGGTTATAGCCACACATGCTGTAAGGAACAATAAGAAAAACAAAAGGCACAAGGAACACTATATATGGTAATGGACAGTGTTCTTTACGATGCTAATTCGCAGACAAGCTTCGGTACATATAAGAATTTTTCACTGAAAAAATTTAGAACCAGGGAAACATATCAGTGATATCACAGTTAAAGCCAATCACTTGGAACAATGGAGGTACCTGAAATAGCTGTGCCATAAGATTAGAATCACGTTGAAGATGTTGCCGGAAAGCTGCAGGGTTAATAGCTGATCCATCGGGATTCAAGCCCAAGTCATTTCCAGCAGCTCTGAAGCAAGAAGAGACAACAAGGAAATTCAAATGCATCGTTTTCGCTAGAACTATGCGTAGATAACTAGATATTAAACAACTCACCCAGATGAGGCATTGGAAATCATCATCAATAAATCATCCTCCTTAACACCCAAGGCACTCAATTTCTCGGAATTCTGAACTTCCTTTCCATTAAACAGAAGTTGTTGCTGCTGAAGCCGAACATTTGTCTGCTCATTGATGCAAAAATACAGTGGTAAATAAGATTACAGATAAACCTCAAAAACCCTAAACCTATCAGGCAGATTTCAACTGGAATTCAGTTCCTTCATACTTTTTCTCAATACGAAACTAAAGAATTCAAACAAAAATCTCGAGAAGAGTGATGCGAAATCCCTTACCTCAACCTCGAGCAGCGCCTTAACATTTTCAACCTAAGCGAGACAATCCCCAGAATCAAAACAAAGAGAACACACCGAAACATCGATTAATGAGAGAGAATGGTGAAACCGGACAATTTTCGTCGAACAATTCGAGACGCACATTGTGATTAAGAACCGATTAATCGGGAAAACTAGGTCTCTGTCAGAAGAAATCTTACAGTTTCGTGGGGATCAACATCCAACGTGAGGATCTGTTCATCGGCGGTCATTACAGTAATCCTCATCTTCTAGTTCTCTTCTCGATCTACCCTGTCGTTCTGGTTTGGTCAGGAATCTCTGTATCTTCCGAATGACTTTCGCTTCTACCACGAAAACACTTGACTTGAAGAAAAAGCCAAACAGACAAAAATATAGAAATATAGGGGCAAATATAGGAATCCGTAACTATATAGGGGTGGATTTGGAAATACTACCCGCATCCTTAAAAGCGGCGTGCATGTCTTCCTCCAAATGCCCAAACGTCAAACAGTTTGCCACTGCGTCTGCGTATGTATGCAGTATGCATAAGAGAATACAAGGAACATAGAAAATACCTTTGCAGGAACCTGCGATTAAAACCCTGATTCATCGAAGCGCATGCTTCGCCATCTTCACCGATTCGTCCGATCAACGGATAAATTCATGAAGCAGTCCTAAGTATTCTGATCATCTCTCCAAATCTGTGGAAAGTTTTCTTCTTTGTCTGTGTATATGGCGAGTGGGCAAGTAGAGAAGCGAGTGAAACACAAGAGCTCTGTGAAGGATCCGGGAACTCCTGGATTTCTCAGAATTGTAAGCATCATATTTCTCTTGGTCTTTTCATTTCTCGGGAAAATTTCGGGCAGAAGAACTTTTAGGGACAAAGTTGTGTGATTTGTCATGGGACATATGATGTTTTTTCTGGCATTTGCGTTTGGATTCTGTTATGTGTTTGTGGGATGAAGATGATCTGTGAAATTGATTTTCTGGGTATCTTGGGTAGAGGGAAGAAGCGCTGCTCTTCGTGCCGAACGACCCAGCATCAGCTCCAAAACTTAAAGTGCCGATTCAGAACATCAAAGGTATGCATTATAAGTTACTCATAATGAATGCATGATATATGCTTTCACTGGTTTGTTGTTGGGTAGAAATCTGCATTGCTTATGTTTCCCCTGCTGACAATTGCTTTTTTGTTTGTTGGTTAGAGATTTCTGGAATTCTGCTGTTTTTCCCAATGTAGAATTATTAAGTCTCGTCTTGATGAATTTTCAGGTCAGAAAAACACGAAAGAAGCATCCAATAAACCTCCATGGCTGAATCTCAGCACTAAGCAGGTTCTTTTGTCGGCATTCATGGTTAAATCTAAAAGGTATCCGTGTGAACTTTGAAGCTTATCACCCTTATCATTGTTGAAGTGTTCCCTCGTCTATGGTCTTAGGGAGGGAGTCACATTTTTGAATTTGACAACTATCCTGACATGCTTTCTTGCCGTGATTTTATTGGTGAGTTCCAATTGCTGTTACTGCATCTTTTAGTGGAAGTTTTTCTCCTTATCTTTCATGATGGTGTTACTGCAATGCAAATGGTTTTTCATATGAGCAGCTAAGGCCCTTGCCAAATCTGAAGAGCCTCCTGAGAAACAAGCTGTCACGACATCAGGTGAGCAACTTAGCAGTGCAGAAATGCAGCTACGCATCAAGCTGCTTCGAGAAAATAGGTGAGTAGGTGGAACACTATGATTTTCTTTTTGTAATTTTTATTCCTTTTCCTACATATTTGTTGAATCCTCTACTGATATGGGCAACATTCATTATATGAAGTGAGTTGCAGAGATTGCATAAGCAATTCGTGCTAAAAAATATCCTGACAGAAGAGGAATTTTGGGCGTTGAGGAAGGTTGGTTCTATATGGATTCCATGTATCAGTATTGTCTATTACCTTTCGACTATCTCATCTTATTGCAGTTACCTATCTTATGTGGTGGCAGAACTTACTTGGTAAAGATCCCAGCAAAAAATTGAGGCAACAGATTGGACTGAAGAGTATGATGGTTTCTGGCATCAAACCATCTACTGATGGACGGGTATAATATATTCTCTCTGTCCAGTCCTTACCAGTTCCCAATTCTCACTTATTTTCTGTTGCCTGCCCACATGCTTATCTCTTCTGCTAGATTGCACTTAAATACTCGTAGCCTAATGTGTTTTGCAGCATATCAGTTTATTGTCATTCATGTGTTTCTTTGCATCTGGATATTAACCAGTTTCTTCAATGTTTTGTTCTCAGACTAATAGGGTCACATTTAACTTGACACCGGAAATTATTTTTCAGGTAAGTTTCTAAGGGTGTTTTAGTTATATTTCCGATCAATTTATATGCTCTGTAAGGATCTTTCTGAGGTATTAGTTCGAATATGGCCTCTGCATGGTTTTGATATAAGTTGAAGATAGCATTAATGTGGCTGAAGTTTGATATGTTTTGCGGAAATAAAATAAGCTAGGTGGCCAGATTTCCAATTGGAAACTAGAAATGTAGTGACAGAGACCTTTGTCACAACATGTCAATGTTCCTTCGATTGTAGGTTAGGTCTGTAAATTTGTTGGAAGAACTTTTTAATTCTTTATTCAGTCATCTATCACATTTTCCTTTATCTGAAATGTCCTTTGTACACTACACTTTCAGATATTTGCTGAGAAGCCAGCTGTACGGCAGGCATACTTAAATTTTGTTCCGAGAAAGGTAAAAAGGACTTTAATATTATGATTAGCTTTGTTGATCTTTATTAATCATCAAAGATTAAACTTAGCTGAATTTGAGTTTTATTTTTCTTGAAAAGATGACCGAAAAGGACTTCTGGACCAAATACTTTCGAGCAGAATATCTTCATAGCTCTAAAAATACAGCGGTAGCTGCAGCAGAAGCTGCTGAAGATGAGGAACTTGCTGTCTTTCTGAAGCCTGATGAAATATTGGCTAGAGAGGCTCGGCAAAAGGTTATTCTATTATGTGGTTAAATGACCTCTGTATTTCTTTGATAAGAAAATGTACGTCTTCGTATTCTTCTTATATGTAGTGTCATATATGCAGATTAGACGAGTTGATCCTACCCTTGACATGGAGGCTGATATGGGAGATGACTACACTCATCTTATGGTAAGCCACCTACTGCCTGGGAAATAATAGACACGAGTCAAGACAAAATCCACCTCGTCTTGCAATAAAGGGTTTCTCCAATGCAATAATGGAATGGACTAGTTACTTTCAACTTTCGTATTAGAAATGGGGTTAATAATGTACTACAGTCTTACAGTTAAATTTCCTGGCATGCAGGACCATGGGATCATTCGCGATGGCTCTAAGGACACAATTGAACCACAGAATGACCAGTTTAGGAGGTCATTGTTGCAAGATCTTAATCGTCATGCTGCTGTTGTTCTGGAAGGCAGGACCATTGGTAGACATCTGTTCTAGAATACCTATTTTTGCCTCTTCTAATTCATGTGAGAAATAATAATCAAGGGTCTTCTTTCCCAGTGGTTAACGAAGGAAGAGTAAACATGTACTTCGGTCATGTGGGGAAAATGTGCTGAGGCTCACGAATTTTTTGAATTTGAAAGCAGATGTCGAGTCGGAGGATACAAGGCTTGTTGCAGAGGCTCTCGCACGAGCCAAACAAGGTTGGCTAATCTCTTAAACATGCTGCAATTCCATTCTTTTGCGTTTAATGCTATGAGCAAGAATGAGTAAATTTTATGGCGGTACCATTATCTTCACCACCACCTCTACTTATGCATATCTACTGCCCCTCAACAGTAGGCAAAGCTGATGATGGAACCTCCAAGGATGCAAATCAGGAGAGGTTGGAGAGAATGTCTCGGATGGCAGAGATGGAGGATCTTCAGGCGCCACAGAACTTCCCATTAGCACCGCTCTCTATCAAGGTTTAACTTTCTTTCTAAACAGCTTTCCGTTTTTTGTTGTTGTTGTTAGACCTGCCGGCCGGACACCTCTTTACGGTTTCTTGCTTGGAATCAGGACCCTCGAGACTACTTTGAATCTCAACAAGCAAAAACTTCCAAAGATGTGCCTGGCGGAGCAGGGTCATTAAAAAGAAGCGTCTGGGAAGCTTATGGGTCGCTAAAAGAATCCATTTCCGAGATTAGAACTGCTGGATTAAGCGATCCCTTGATTAAACCTGAAGTTGCTTTCAAGGTGAACACACTCTTTATCACACAAAAAAAATGCTTGCTACCTAAAAATTGAAACCATATTTTATTGCTTTGGGTGTTTGCTACTACTAGCTGCTTAAACTGTGGTCTCAGGTTTTCAGTTCATTAACCCAAACTATCTCAAGCGCTAAATACAATCTTGGGAAGAATCCTCGGGAGAGCTTTCTGGATAGACTACCAAACTCTACCAAAGAAGAAATTCTCCATGTAAGTCAATGTCCGGCATATTTCTTACTGACAAAAAGGCCGTTTCATTATATTACTGGATGGAAATGGAGGCTAGTTCCTGCTAACACCACGAAAGGCTTGGATATAACATTGCTTAGTCTCTTATCAGCTGATATTAGAAGCCAATCCCATGTAATGGTGACTGTGGCAGCATCCCTCTCAGTTGTAGAGCTATATGTGTTTTATCCTCTATACAAGCTAGCTTTTAAGAATGGTTTATGCGGGCACATTTTGGTTTTGTAACTGTAACGATGGATTAAGAGTTCTATTATGGTTCAGCTTATTAAGAATCTTATGAAATGGAACTTATGGTCTTTTTTCTTCTTGATAATGAATCTCGGAAGCCAAAATAAGTGAATTTTACTTTCTATACAGCACTGGACGTCTATACAAGAATTGTTGAGGCATTTCTGGTCATCGTACCCGATAACGACCACCCACCTTCATGTCAAGGTAATGTTCTTTCGGCTGCTTTCTTCCGGAGCCGTCCATTAATGGATTGACATACATAATGTGCGTATTTCCATTCCCTACATCAATATGCAGGTTGGCAGGCTGAAGGACGGCATGTCCAATATTTATTCCCAGCTCGAGGTAAGCTTTGGACAACTGTTCAAGTTCTTCTTAGGAAGAACAGATAAGCAACTGGGCTTTCCTGTTAAATGTTTTTTTTTAAACTAGTTTCTTATATAACTAATTACAGTTTTTGTACGGTAGCTTTCCTATATGTATGTGAATTATGAATTATGAGCATGATGGGTTGTTGATAATGAATGTGTTATACCCCGAAAAATTCAGGCGATGAAGGAAACAGTGCAATCAGACCTCCGGCATCATGTTTCTCTACTGGTTCGTCCAATGCAACAGGTTAGCTTCTTCTACATCCGAAATCTGATATATATATATATATATAATATTCATAGTATCCGAATTTTAATCTGATCATGTCAAACAATGTTCATCCCCGGTGATTTTGAACGGAAGTTTATTGTGTATAATATCGAAAACCAAACTTAAACCGGAGATTGGGAGGGGAAAACGAGAGAGAATTGAGTAGCTATGTTTTGGACAATCAGCTAAACCGGGAGATTCTGTCCGGTTATGGTTTGGAATTGGATTGGTTAAATGCTTAAACCGGTGTCTCCGCCACCGCAGGCTCTTGACGCAGCGTTCCAACACTACGAGGCAGACCTGCAGAGAAGAACGGCCAAGATCGGAGGCGAGAGACCAAATGGATACATTTAATGATCTAAGTTTACTTAAATCTTTTTTTTTTTCTGATCCTTTGGTATCGATTGTTACCCATTGTTACATTTTTATTTCCATTCACACGTTTTTTGTACATTTGAAAACTTACAAAAATTTTGTTCAATTTCCATTGCGAAGTCCGTATGAATATTTCAATTTGGGTATATGATGTTAAATAAAACTAATCCGGATAATATATAATCAATATTTCAATTAAGAACCCATTTGATATGAATTTTTTAAATAAATTGCCATAATTAAGATAATATAAAAAGGAACCACTTTTTAAGATCAAGTATTTTCTGAATCAAAATGGGGATAGAAATTTGAGTCAACTTGAAAATCGAAAAATATGAATAGGTGCAATCCCCGATGGTTGTTGGATTTTGTTACTTTATGTCCGTTTTTGTTTGAACTTCAAGCATTGTTATTGTCGGTCATAAAACAAAAACAAAATTGTGCGGGAAAGAAAAATCCGTGAACATGATAGATATTATCGATTACTATAAAAGCAATGAATTTAGTTACAAAATAATAATATTTAAAATAACTATATTCGTTAATTATCGATTTTTATTTTCATATTTCATTTAAAATATACAGGTTTTTTAAAATTTCCAAATTTTCCAAAGCTTTGATATTGAAAATGTAAAATGTTCTTCAACAAAAAAAAAAGAAAAAAAAAAGAAAATGTAAAACGTTCTCTAATTCTTTCATAATACTAATTTGGGCTTACACAGCAGGCTTGTGATAAAGAAGGCCCACTAACAATTTGAGCCACCATTATATATAGCTAGGACCAGGATAAAAGTTGTTTTTTACACGAAGATCTCATAATTTGTACGGGTTTTCATTTCTACCCCATACAATTTTAGAACTTTCGATCTTGCCCCATTTATTTATTCATTAAAAAAATTGGTCTCCAAAAGTTCTCTACCTCTTCACTTTCAAGTCATCATCGTCTCTCTCTCTCTCTCTCTCTCTCCTCGCTTTCTGAGACTCGATTTCTTCTTCTTCAGATCCGTCGAGTTTCTTTTTCTAGAATCTTCTTCAGAATCTATACATACATAGAGGCAGCTTTATCTATCGATTTCACAAACCCTAGCTCCGGCGATCTTAAATCTACAAAATCCATGGCGTCTTCACCAGGTAACACTAACCCTCACAATCCTCCTCCCTTCGATATCAGCAATTTTTTCAAACCCTCGCCAAGCCCTTACCCTACGCCACCGGGTTCTTATCCTCCACCCGCCGGACCTTTTCTTCACAACCAGTATCACCAGCAGCTCTACACGCCGCCTGGAATCGCTGGCCAACTATCTCCGGCGGCGTCCTCGGCAGCGCTGGCACAGCAGCAGCAACAGGAGGCGCCTCCGGCTTCCTCATCCGCCGCTGCTAACTTGCACCCGCCGAGATCGCTTTCCTATCCTGCGCCACCTCTCAACCTCCAATCGCCCCGAGCGAATCACAACCCCGGTACGCACATCCTCGCTCTCCTCAACAATAATAATGGCGGAAGCGCCAACAGTGGCGCCACGGCCAATCAAGATCCGTCGCCTCAGCACCCAGGGCTGCATCCACACGAGGTCGCACGGCCATTCCCGGGCGGTCCGGTTCCAATCCGTGCTCAGAGCTGTAAGCTACCCAAAGGAAGACGCTTGGTCGGCGAACATGTGGTGTACGATGTGGACGTGAGATTGCAGGGAGAGATTCAACCGCAACTCGAGGTGACTCCGATTACCAAATACGGGTCGGATCCGCAGCTCGTAGTGGGTCGACAAATCGCGGTGAATAAGGTCTACATATGCTACGGTCTGAAGGGAGGGAATATTCGGGTTCTCAACATAAACACCGCATTGAGATCTTTGTTCCGCGGCCATACTCAGGTTGTTCTTCTTACCCTTTCTCCAGATTATTTGCATAGGTCTAGTTGGAATTGAGCTTAGATTTACTCAAATAAGAGGCACTCTTCTGTACCTGAAGTGTGTTAGCTTAGAAGTTTGCTTCAAAGATTGGATTTTCTTTCAGAAGTACCCATCTAGTTGATGTTGTATTGTCATTAATTGGTCATTTTGATTCTCCTGCTCGATCACTCCCTTGTTATCAACCCACCCGGTTAAACGATATTAATTGGAAGTATTTTCATACATGTTTGGTTCCATTTTTCGATCATGTATGGCCTCCTTGAACTCCCTTCAATTTTCTAACTATACCTTGTGTCCAGAGAGTAACGGACATGTCATTCTTTGCGGAAGACGTTCACCTGTTGGCTAGGTAATGTTCTACAACTCTGGCTAGTAGCTTCAACTTTTAGTTTGAGTTTTGTCTCATTGTCTACTTTTTCTTTTATTCTAAACAGCATTAGTCTAGAGGGAAAAGTTTTTGTATGGAAAATTTCTGAAGGTTCAGAAGGAGAGGATCAGCCCCAGATATCTGGAGGAATGGTTCTTGCTGTTCAGATATTAGGGGAGGAGGACACAAAGCATCCACGTGTGTGCTGGCACTCTCACAAGCAGGTAACCAAGTAATTTCCTTTTTTAATGCGAGACCCCCCCCCCCCCTGGAGAATAAATTCAAGTTTCCTTTAGAAGTTTCTCTGACGCATCTGTATTTCTGTATTGCTCAAAATGCATCTTTTAAAGGAAAATTTGGTGGTTTCAATTGGAAAAAACATATTGCGGATTGACACTACCAAAGTTGGCAAAGGTGCAGTATATTCAGCGGAGGCACCTCTTCAGTGTCTTCTTGACAAGCCGATTGATGGCGTGCAACTTGTTGGTAAACATGATGGAGAAGTTACTGATTTGTCGATGTCCCAGTGGATGAAAACTCGCTTGGTTTCTTCTTCAGTGGATGGCACGGTTTGTATTTCTAGTATCTTGCTCATGCTTGTTCCCCCAGTTTTGCTGGAATATATAAGTTTTTTTTTTCTGAATGTCTCTGATTTTCGTGCAGAATATCGTGTTATCTGGCGACCTGTGTTTTTTTTTTCCTGTTAAATTTTCTTTGCATTCTATTTTGAAAAGATGAACAAAAAATGCAGCTTTTGAGACTGTACAGGTCTACCAGCCAAAGCCTCGTTTGTGTCTGCTAGTGCATTTTACCTTTAAAGTTTTTCCCATAACGGGGCCAAATGATTTCCATATTTCTTGTTCATCTCTATTTATGGTTTGTCAGGTTTTGGTGTAATATTTATGTGCGCTTTTTTTTCTCATTTCATTTGTTTAATCTACGCACATTTTGCGAGAGTTTCGTCTCTGTACATGCATGATTGACAGGCTAACTCCCCTGGCCCAACTCTCCACTGCAGATTAAGATATGGGAAGACCGTAAGGCACAACCACTTGCAGTTTTAAGACCACATGATGGTCATCCAGTCAATTCAGCCACATTCATGACAGCTCCTGAGAGACCTGATCACATCATACTTATCACGGGGGTAAATTCTTAAGTGTTTTATTTAACCTTTCCCAGCTTTATCAGGTGTTGAAGGCTCACTCATTTTGCTTGCATTTTTTAAAATCTTAGCTCTCTCTTTTTCTTTGCCCTGATAGTGTTCATAACACTTTCCCGTAGGGTCCTCTAAACCGAGAAATGAAGATTTGGGTCTCAGCTGGTGAGGAAGGGTGGCTCCTACCGACTGATTCTGAATCATGGAAGTGCATCCAGACACTTGACCTAAAAAGTTCAGCTGAACCACGAGCTGAAGAGGCGTTTTTCAACCAAGTCGTTGCATTGTCTCAATCAGGGCTGCTTTTACTTGCAAATGCAAAAAGGAACGCCATCTATGCCGTGCATTTGGACTATGGTTCTTGTCCAGTTGAGACAAGGATGGATTACTTGGCAGAATTTACAGTCACTATGCCTATATTGAGTTTTACAGGGACAAATGATCCTCCTGAAGAGCATATTGTTAAGGTTTACTGTGTTCAGACTCAAGCTATCCAGCAATATACTTTAGACTTATGCCAGTGCTTGCCCCCTCCTACAGAGAACATGGGTTTGGAGAAGTCAGATTCAACTGTCTCACGGGAGGTGAATCTTGCTGAAGGCACATCAGATGCAGCTGGACAGAAGCCTACAGAACTGCCTTCAGCTGATTCAATGCTCAAACCACCTGTCCAAGTAAGTAGATCGGACAGCGCAAGTGCTCTTAGGTTTTCAGGGAGTTCTGCATCAATGGAGACCATGTCACAAGAAGTTTTTCCTACCAATGGTGAACATAAAATTTCTGGCCTCCCATCTGCAGCCAGTGATACTGATATCGGGTATGCTCCTTCTCCACCGCTTCCTCTAAGTCCTAGGCTGTCACGGAAACTTTCTGGTTATCATACTCCGGCAAATACCGTTGAGTCAGCACTCCCTCAGGGTGAGTTCGGCGGTAAACCTCCAGCCACTGATTATTCGCAAATGGATGGTGGCCAAAAAAGTTTATCAGATGTGTCTTCTGTAGATGATGGCTCAAGGAGTGACAAAAAGGTTACACCTGATGATGCAGCTGCGATTCGAAGCCCACCAATTGTTTTCAAACACCCCACTCATCTTGTAACACCTTCAGAGATATTGATGGGTGTTTCATCTGCTGAAGCCACCATTGCTACTGAGGGCAAGAGAGATAAAGATGCAAATGCTCAGGACGTTGTGGATACCGATACAGATAGTGCAGAGGTAGAGGTTAAAGAAGTAGGTGAAGCAGGATCAACTCAGAATGATGGAATTAACTATCACGAAGAAACTGAGAACCGTGTATCAGAAAATAGAGAGAAGATTTTCTGCTCACAGGTCTCAAATCTCAGTACTGAGATGGCAAGAGATTGCCATGCTGTTATGGAGGAGAGTTATGCACCTGAGGAATCAAAAGCACTTGGTCAATCTTCTGAAGCTGGGGAGGAAGGTGGTGTTGACTCACGAGGTGCATCTGGAAAGCTTCCCGAGGTTTCATCAAGTATGCTTCCCCAGCCAGCAGCTTCAAATAGCAAAGGGAGGAAACAGAAGGCTAAAAATTCATATGGTTCCAGTTTGTTGTCTACATCGTCGAATGCTGCCGATCTGGCTGAGTCTTATAATGAAGGTTGGAACTCAGGTCTTCCAACTACAGAGTCACTATTGCCTCAATTCCTAGCTATGCAAGAGATGATGAATCAGGTGACAGTTGGTCCCAAAACTCAAGTTTTACATAAGCCCATATCTTGGAACATATCCTATCAACTTTTGATTTGTATGATTTGGGACTATTTTCTCTTTTTCCCTTCCAGATAATGGCTTCACAGAAGGAGATGCAGAGACAACTATCAAATGCTGTCAATGGTCCTGTCACTAAAGAAGGTAAAAGACTAGAAGTGGCTTTAGGAAGAACGATAGAGAAAGTCACCAAGGCGAACACTGATGCTTTATGGGCCCGTTTCCAAGAGGAGACAGCTAAAAATGAGAAAACATTGCGTGACCACACACAGCAAATAGTAAATGCAATGACGAACTTCATGAACAAAGAATTGAATGCTGTTTTTGAGAAAGTGGTAAAGAAAGAATTTACTGCAATCGGACCAGCTATAGTCCGTTCAGTAACACCAGCTATTGAGAAAACAATATCGTCAGCGATCACCGAGTCCTTCCAGGTTAGAGTTCTGAAAATTTATGATTGATTCTTGAGAAAGCTGCATTATTAAGAGACAGATAACCTGCTATTTCGTGATGCAGAGAGGAATTGGGGATAAGGCCATCAATCAACTCGACAAGTCTGTCAATGCAAAACTTGAAGCTACTGTAGCCAGGCAAATCCAAGCGCAATTTCAGACCTCGGGCAGGCAAGCCCTCCAGGTTCGTCTGAGTTAAACCCATTCTGATTAATTTGTTAGGAGAGTATTATCTACTGTGACTTCTATACTTGATAAGCATTCAATCTCATCAGCCGGTCTCTTACAAATTGCATCTTTTCTTTCAGGAGGCTCTCAGGTCCAGTTTGGAGGCTTCGGTTATCCCTGCCTTTGAGATGTCATGCAAGACCATGTTTGAGCAAGTAGACGCCACCTTCCAGAAAGGGATAGCCGAGCACACAAGTGCAGCCCAGCAACAGTTTGAATCTGTACATTCTCAGCTCGCACATACTTTAAGGGTATGCACAAAAATTTCAGATTGCAATCATCTCCTTCTGTATTTTTTTTCTTTTTTAAATCTCTGCTATGCTTGATGAATCACTTACCTAAAATCCTCATGGGGCGTCTTTCTAATCTTGCTGCTCTCGTTTTATAGGAAACCATTAATTCTGCTTCCTCGGTTGCGCGAACACTAAGTTGTGAAATAACAGATGGTCAGAGGAAACTTATAGAACTTGCAGCTGCTGGAGCAAACCCAGGTGCATCAAATCCCTTGGTCACTCAACTAAGCAACGGGCCTTTGGGTGCCCTCCTTGAAAAGGTCTTCGCCTTTCTTTCTGGAACAAAGAATGATGCATCGTCCTAAGCGAATATTTTTTTTGACAAGTCTTGTGTTGCATCATGATCTTGTACTTTCAGGTTGAAGCGCCTCCGGATCCAACAAAAGAATTAGCCCGGATGGTGTCAGAGCGCAAGTACGAGGAAGCCTTCACGTCTGCTCTACAGAGGAGTGACGTCTCTATAGTCTCATGGCTATGCTCCCAGGTTGAAACATAAACTCCCATAAATCTCCCCCTTATAACGAGTGATCTTGTGAAATAAAATACCTACACTGGGTGGGATCAATCTCCGATAGTTTTTTGCTCTTAATGCCTCTCCTGTGGCCTAATCCACAACATATAGGCATTCCACCATTTTCCAAATGCGGACACTGAAAACGGGGTTATTGGAGCAGGTGGATCTGCAGGGGCTACTGGCGATGGTGCCCCTGCCGCTGAGCCAATGGGTACTGCTGTCACTTCTGCAACAGCTAGCGTGCGATATTGGGAAGGAGACGTCGAGAAAGCTGGGATGGATGATGGATGTGGGTGCGGCCATAAACCCGGGAGACCAGATGATAGCTCTGCACGCAAGGCCCATCCTGGAGCAGGTTTATCAGATCCTTCACCACCACCGCACCACCCCTGGCCTCTCAGGAGGTGACCAATCCTCTATCCGCCTTATCATGCACGTTATCAACTCCATGCTTATGAGCTGTAAATGATTTTATTATATGATTATGCTTAACCACTCCTACTGCTACAAACCCCATCAGTGTCTCTCTTTCTATATATGTACACTTTGGTGTCTGTCTCTGTCTTCATGTCTGTAGAAAACAATGGTGTACTTTGTCAGATTTTGATTTTTTGTCTTTTCCCATTTACCTTTTTTTTTAAAATGTAAAATCTGATTTTGGGGTTTTTGTTGTGCCGTGTATAATGTCTCTGGGCTGGTTTACTATATGTGGGCCCCTTCCGGTTGTCTGGGCCTACTTATCATTTTCTTCTTAATCGTTTAATAAATATATCCGTTATGTTATGCATATCATAAACTTGTAAGCCCATAATTAGGACAAAAAGGAGGAATTCTGTGGATGCGTGGGAGGGGCAAAACTGTTGTAAAATCCAAACCGTTTACAGTCTTTGCTGTCTTCTACGCTCTGGGAAAGAAAAAAAAAACGAAACTTCCTCGCGCTCTACTGACTTCTGAGAACTCTCGATTTGTTTTTCACATCAAGACCCAGATCAGAAATCTGGTGTGTCCGAACACTAGTATCTGCAGCCTTTGGCATTATATCCTTATTTTTCATACCTTGCATATCTTACTAATTATTTGAACAATGAGATCAACATATAATCCATATGTTCATATGGGTCACATGGTCACAATTAGAAAAGGGTATGTGTTGAAGTAAGAATAGCAAAATAAGGGTAGTTTTGATAATGTCCCAGCTTTTGCGGGCTTTGCCGGTTGCTATCTCTTTCTTCTACCCGGAGGAAACAAATCAGAACGATTAGACTTCTGGTGACGATGATGAAGAAAACCAGAGATCTCTAAATGGGAATCTGTCATTTGGCTCTCAATATTTGACAGCTTGGGCCTCTCTTCTCTCTGGCTATCTTGCTGATGCAACACAATTTAGTACTTTAAAACCCTAGGAAGATCAAGTCGTCGTTGTATTATATACGGTTGCCCATCTCATCAGCTGACTTGAATAGACTAAAGAATCATGAAACCTGTTCGAGGAGGAGCTGCTGCGGCAGTAGCTGCTCTTGAAACCCTAAAATGTTGACTTAAATAGTCTTAGCTTTCTTCCAAATTAATTAAAGCTATATATATATATATATGTATGTATACAGCTCTCCCCTCTCAAAGTTCGGCTTTCTTCTGTCCAAAACCAGAGATGACTCAGACTCTCACCTCTTCTGTAATGCCTTTTTTAGGTTCTTCAAAAGGAAAATTGAGTGCTATAAATCAAAACCCATCTGTGTTCAGGGTTTTAATTCGTTTATTTTTCATGTGTTTATTAGAGCAATTATATCTATTTCGTTTTTATGTTGGGTTCTGGTCGGATTCAAATTTTATCGATTTAAAATCATCTCAAGAATAAAAAAAGATATGATATAATTTCAACGGTGTTGTGCCCGTGGAAATTATCTTCAGTTGGGATATCTTCTATTAAAACGATTTAATTAATTTTTTTGTATTATTTCCTTTTTTAACCATATTGATCTAAATCTTTCTAAATTTCCATGTTTCATTCATCAAGCAAATTTATATTCTATATTCATGTAAATCTTTCTTTTTGCACGATTTTGTATAGTTTCTAATTGTATTAAAAAAATTTAATAATTTTTAGTATAATTTACATTTCTTTAATTAAAATATAAGTAGTGCGAAGCCCAACAGAAGTGATAAACACTCTGTCTTGCCTTTTTCCAACAAATTTCGAATTGCTAATAATCCGTAAAAGCTTAGGGGATGGATACTGATATCTTTATTTATTTATTTTTTTGTGTAAATCTATTGTTACTCGATATTTTGTTTTTTGTTTTTATTTTGAAAATAAATAATAAATAAATCGGGCCCGTCCGTTAGGGAATATTACTCAAATAACCCAGCAATTTCAGTGTACACCACCGAAAAAAAAAAAAATTTAATTTTAACCCACAGTTGGAAAAGTCCGAAATACCTTTTTCGTTTTATTTTTTGCGACCTTATTACGACTAATATATAACTGATATACCACTATGATATACCACTAAAATAAGACAGATGATTTTTTTGCCACCTTTTTTAGAATCAATTGTAACTATATTTAGAATTAATTACGAAGTCGTAATAACGAAATTGTTTTCAAACGGATAAAAATCGCGTATTCATTAAGGGTAATTTCGTCTTTTCACATACAAATGTGTTATGTTTTTTCTGGTGTACACGTGAAATAGATGCGAGCCGATTTGAGTAAAATTCCCCGTCCCTTGTCCCTCGTACGGTTGTAGCCTGTGAACGGAGATAAATTTTTCGGTGTTCTTCGGAAGGCCCTCTCTCGCGATCGATCTCATCGTTTTCCCTAATACGAGTTTTTGCCGAATCCATGGTAACGATTATCTATCGATTTTCGGAAGAGGACTCCGTTTTGAATTCCTTGAAATTTCTGTTGCCAGGTGAATCTCCCGGTCCTGGGTTTTGTAACCACCCTTCCATCTCTGCTTCTTCCATGCTCGTGCTCTGGTGTGAGGTTCCTGGGTTTTGAATCGTCCTCTAGGTCGAGAGTTTATATATATTGGGCTTGTTAGGGTTTTGTGTTTGCCCATGCACCGGATTTATTGTTGTTGATTGATTGCGTTTGTCTTCCTTTTTCCTCTTTTGTCGGCTTTGGTTTATGAACTCCATGGGGAACTTGATGTTTTATGTGTTATAATCGGATTTTGGTGGTTGGTTGCGGATTTTGCTTTCGTTTCGTGTGGTATCTAACTAGCCAGATTGATGGAACGGAGTATATGATAGTTCAAATTGCCCTGTAAGACCTTGTTTCTGGTATTTTGTTATACGGGCATGGAGAAGTATTTTTTCCATGGAGGTCTTGCATGTTTGATGTCTGCTGCTGACTTGGTATGTGTTTTGCTTGTTGGACATTGTTGGCATCTATGATGTTAGCTTCGGACAAGAATTTTCGGGATGCTATTCTTGTTTGGGATTAAAGCTTCCTGAAATCGAACAAGAATTTCCCAGTTACTGTGTTGTATTATACTACAGCAGCTTAAGGTTTTCCTGATTTTTTAGGTCCAGTAAGTGGCTAAGTGCTAAATAGTTTGTGTTTTTATGTTTGCAGCTGCCTATATTTGTTACCTGAAAAATGTCCAATTTCCAAGCGGAGGACGATGGGTTCGTGGAAGACATAAATGATGATATGGAAGACAGAAATGATGATATGGAAGACAGAAATAATGATATGGATTGGGACGATGATATATTATCAGGTTCTGATTATGACGAATATGATTTCCCAGTAAGTAATGCCCTGTTCAAGTCGAACAGTTTTTGGTTATGCTAATTACCTCAACAGACGGTTTAGGCTGTGAGGAATATTAACTTCCAGTTTCACTCTAATCTTGTGCGTTATCCTCCGTTCTCTGTTTCAGAATGATAAAATACCGGATACAACCGCAGAGCAAACTCGGAAAGGAAAAGATATTCAGGGAATTCCTTGGGAAAGGCTTAGTATTACTAGGGAAAAATACAGGCAAACTAGACTAGAACAGTACAAAAACTATGAAAATGTCCCCAATTCTGGGGAATCATCGGGAAAAGTAAGGGATATGTTTTTTGATTGTCCAAATTGTCGTCCACATATTTGGTTGCCATCAGTTATCTAATATCGTTTATCTTTTGTTTCATGAATGTAGGATTGCAAGGTCACTCGAAAAGGGGCCTCTTTCTACGAGTTCCGGCGAAATTCAAGATCTGTTAAATCAACTATTCTTCACTTCCAGGTTTTGCCATTGAAATTCCTCTATGCTTTTCTAGTTGAAATTCCTTTTATATGATTTGATTATACCTTGTCTTTGGGCATTGGTGAGGATATAATGGGGAATTTGTGTGCTTGTGGTGATTGCCTGCATTGCATATCATTTATGGTTAAGGGATTTGTAGAATAGCATGGCTTTTTGACTCAATATACCGAATGCAATTCATGTGATTAGTCTTCTGCAAAGATACATGTGGAGGTCATCTGGTCAATAATTTTTTTTCTCAATATTGCAGTTGAGGAATTTGGTTTGGGCGACATCGAAGCACGATGTGTACGTTGTGTCACGTTTTCAAGTTATGCATTATAATACTGTAACATGTGCAAGCACTGAGGTTCTCAATGTCTCAGGACATGTTGCTCCACCTCCACCTGAGGTTAGTGTTACTCCGTAATGATAAAAATGTCTTCAAAATAACTAAAAATCGGTGTATGTGAAGAACTTTTCTTTGTGTGCATTGCATTCAGGAGGATCGTGAAACTTTGCTGGAAAGACTTACACGGACTCGAGTTAGTACACTCGCAGTGAAGGATAGATTTCTAGTCGCCGGTGGATTTCAAGGAACAGTTATTTGCAAGGTGAGCTCCTAGTCTTTTTTAAGATATCAGTGGTTAAGCAAAGTAGTTGTTATGTGCAATCTCTTGGTGAAGCTCATCGTTTTCCACTCTGCTCTGGTCCAGCATCTTGATAGACCCGGTGTCAGCTTTTGCTCTCGTATAACTCATACTGATAATGCTATCATTAATGCTGTTGAGATCTATTTTAAATCGAGGTAGACCTCTTTCGTTTGCTTGACGAGGCCCTGTCACAACTTGTCAGGATTTCTCCTTCTAACTTTGCTTTTGCCCTTCTATTATCTACGTGCAGTGGTGCACTTCATTTTACTGCCTCGAATAATGACTGCGGGGTCAGAGACTTTGATATGGAGAAGCACCAGCTTGTTAATCATTTTCGTTTTCCTTGGCCAGTGAATGTAAGTCCTTTGCTTTGGTGAAATTTGATCTCTCTGTACCGTTATCCGCTTACCGCTCTGATGTGGTTCCGGTATGAATCATCTGGTGGTAACGATTATCTATCGATTTGTTTTCTTGACAGCACACATCTCTGAGTCCTGACGGTAAACTCCTGACTATTGTTGGGGACAACCCGGAGGGCCTTTTGGTAGACTCCAACACGGGAAAGGTAGGTGCAAATATCATATTTTATAGATTCAGAAACTCATATTTCTCCATGCTTAAAATTTCTCAAGTTTTTTTTCCGAAATCTTTGAAAACAGACTGTGGGAACGTTATCGGGGCACTTGGACTATTCCTTTGCATCGGCATGGCACCCAGACGGGCACACCTTCTCCACCGGAAACCAGGACAAGACCTGCAGGGTGTGGGATATACGTAACATGTCTAAATCGGTGGCTGTACTGAGGGCAAACGTAGGAGCGATCAGGTCCATCCGATACTCATCAGATGGAAAATACATGGCAGTGGCTGAGGCAGCGGATTTTGTGCACGTGTACGATGTGAGGAATGGGTACGAGACAGAGCAGGAGATCGACTTCTTTGGGGAGGTATCGGGAATATCGTTCAGCCCAGACACGGAGGGGCTGTTCGTGGGGGTATGGGACCGCGCATACGGAAGCCTTCTCGAGTACAGCAGGGTACATGACTACTCGCACCTGGACTCGTTTCTTTGAGCAGAGAGAGAGATAGGAATAATATTATATATGAAAAGATAGAGAGAGCCTTTGATTTTTTATTTATATAGAGGTCTGGTGCGGTTTTACATTCATTTTTCATAGGGCGTAAATGAGGGGGTCCTGTGCGAATAACGACGAGCTATTTCGTGTTTGGATTTTGGTCTCTGCATTGGTTTTTTTTTTTTCCTTTTTGAGTTGATGTCTGAGATGGGACCGAGTTCGGTCGAGTCTATAAGTGTCGAAGGAGCCAGCCGGTTTGGTTCTGAGCTGATTCGTTTTAGATTCAACTTGTTACGTCCGTTTTCAAACGAGTCAAAAAAAATATCAGTTCGGTTCGCATGTTTCATGAGATAAACGAAAACTGCTCACAAAAAAAAAAAAAAAAAAAAAAAAAAAACCTCGGCTCGGGTTGGAGACACGTAATGTTTTTTGGCCGTGGGGTTCACGCGCCCGACGTGAGCGTATGGATGAATGGAATCTTTAGTTTGGTTGGGCCTTGAATAGATCCATGACGGCCTTCTTTTCGGCCCATTAGTTTAACAAATGGGCCTCACTTGTGAGCTTAATGGGCTATTTGCCTCAACGGCCGACCAACACTTCCCCTGATCGATGAACATAGTCACGATGTCATGTCCTCCTATGATGTGGGGGAAGATGTCGCCAAGTCAATGAGCGTTACTTGCGAAGTAAAATGACTAAAAACTTCACCAGTAACCAAACCACCCGAGACAAAAACAACTCCGCAGCTAATCGTTAATACTTATTACAGCTTCAACATAAAAGAAAATCCGACAAGATTATATGCTAAACAAACAAACGATCGTACCTGAAAAAAATGTTCGGTTGACCAAAAGAGATGAATCTACGCAACTCTTTTTTAAGTTGGTATAACGATCTGTGAGTCGGGCAATAGCTGCAAGATGAAAAACCTGAGTATGCAGAGAAGCAAAATCAACTGCGCCAAGAAACAAAGGCCGGACTTGAATGCTCTCCCCGAGATGTTTCCCGACTTGTGTCCCGGATCTTCCCTCAGATTACGCGTTTTCTTCGGTTCTTCCAGAGATCTCGTGAGCAGCAGATGTTCGATTTCAGCTTCCATCTTTCTCTGGAGAATGCCCTCGAGCTCAGTTTCGATCTTCGAGTTCTCTAATTCCCGGATCTTGGCATCCTTGGCCTCAAGCTTGGCCTTTGCTTCCCCCAGTTTGCTTTCGAGATGGGTTACTCGCTGCTTCAAGATCGGTACCTGTGATTCCGAGCTATTTTCTCTCGGATTTTCTACGTTTCCCGGTTGGTCAGATGAAAAACCCGACTCATCTATGCTGCGATGTAGCGGTATAGAATCTCTCCCGATTTCCGAAAAGTTCTGAACTTCTGCATATGCGTCATATTGCATTAGTTAGTTTCGAGAAAAAATCATAAAACCCCGATAGCCAAGTACATGAGATGCGATAAATTCATGCCTACGTTCTGTCTCATCGGCCATCAATTTTTGGACAACCAACAATCTGCTTAGACTTACGAATTGCTTCGAAAACATGCAGTATCACTTTTAAGGGCAATTGGAAAGAAAAAGAACATTATTTAGAAAAAGGGTTGTTAGAATTCAAACCTTTCTCAAGAGCTTCCTGCACAGCTGCAAGATTCCTGATTGAATCCGCAAGCAGATCGTTCTCTAACCGGGAAAGATAGTCTTTCGAAACGCTATCTTCTTCTCTTTCTCCGTTTTCTTTTCTGTGACCATTTTGATCTTCCCGGCTGAATTGCTGACCCTCATTTCTATACTCATTCAACAATTTCTCACCATGCTTCCCCTTGTCATCATGAGAAAACGCACCACTCGAAAATACAAAATCAGTGCTTCTCAAGTCGGAATCCAAGCTGCAAGAAGGATTTTCCTTCTCGCCTTCTACCTGCTCCGCTCTAGCCTTCTTAATGGTATCAATCTGGCTTTTGCCTTGTTGAGCTCTTTGAGATAAGCTACCCGAACTAATCTTTCCTCCAACACTGCTACCACATTCCACCTTACTATTACGATCCTCGCTCTTCTCCAGCCCGACACTTTCAGAAAACGCTTGGCCTACGATAAACGCAGAACCTGGAACGGGACTAAACACTTTTCCTGAACCCAGATGATTCATCATATTTACGGATCCGACAGAGCCTTCACTACTCTGTCTGGCTTCAATCGAAGATAAGTCTGCAGGTTTAGGAGGATTAACAGGACCCGATAATCCACGCTTCAGGACTTTACTGCTATCAATGGCAACCACCCCTTCCGTCACGAGGCTATCTCTCTTGATTCGTCTCCATTTCTTCAACCCGTATCCTTTTCTTATCGAAGGCGATAATCCACCCGGAGATCCATCCCTCACGATACTTGCATTCTCTTGTTGTGCGGATCCAACACCCTCTTCATGATTATCATCAGGCAATAACCCATTGGCGCTCCCATTTTCAGCTGAAACCGTGTTTATAGCCTCATTCATCGTTGACCCTTTATCCAAAAACCTTTTGAGTAAGCGAAACGGATCGAATTCAGAACAGGGGTAAGAGATGTTACCCAAGAACCCTAATCAGCAGAAACACATCCCAAAAGAAATCAAGAAAATCGAAAATCTTGGACCCACGAGCACCAAATTCAGCTCATTTCACTCAACAGTACGCAAATTACGCAGAACTCAAACACCGATCCCCACCTCATTGATTATATCAAACTCACCGCATGAATCGCCAACTTGAAAAATTCTAGCGAATTCGAACCATACAGGAATCATCCACCGAGTGCCATGAATTCCCAGAAAATGAAGAAACGAATCGAATCGAATCGAATAAAGGCGAGGGCGTACCTAAGAGAAGAGATCACCAATTGACGAATTACAGAAGAACGACCCGAAACCCATAAACAAGCCGAGATTTTGCAGCTCAACCTTCATGCGGCGAAGGAATCCGCCGACATGATCGCATATGATTAATTATTACTTATGGGGACTTTTTTCGTGTAATAATTATACGAAGTGGAAATTATTAGGGATAGAATCATGGAAAACAAACAGAACCAAAGGAGGTGGAGGGAAACATCAGTGGGACCCACAACACCTGCAGCATGTGGGCATCGCTGGCCGTCCGATCTGGAACACCACATGTCAGATTTGTCAATTTTTCCAAAACAACTCATAAAAATATGCTTAATGGGCCATCTGGTGGGCTCTAACGGCCCATCGTACTGGATAGTGACGTCATGTAATGTTTTGCCTTATTTCTATGAAAGAAAAAATATATATATATATATATATATATATATATATATATAATATCTTCATTTTCAAAATGAAATTAAACGGCTTTCCCCGTAACACTGTTTACAATGATTCAAAACTATGGCAAATCAGATAAATAGACAAAATATTTTTCCATAATTGAAACCGGGCTTTATTGGGGTCGACGGCCCATTGGGATACGTGTCCTATTTTTATTGGTTTGATTACTGAATGTCCCGTGTGGTGCGAAACAGCTAACCTCCCCAGCGTCGTCCTCCGACTTGCACACTAACGCAAAGCCTCTCCTCTTCCAGCGACGCGAAACAGACCCCCGACCGGAACTGGGTTCTAGTTCGTAAAACGTGGAACTCTCGTCCTTCGTCAGGTAATTCACAGCTCCTCCTCGTACGTACGTATAATCATTTTCCCGGGTACATTGCCTCTCAAAGTTGAAACTTAAGGCTTTCGGCGGGTTAAAACCCTAGCTTCCGATCGGGGGATTTGCCGTTTTGATGGGTTTTTCAGGAATCGGAAATCCCAGGCTTGGAGATCTATACCTAGAGAGGTTTCATTTTGTGGTTCTGGGTTTCTTGAGCTTGCTTAGATCATTAAGATTGCAGAGATAATGGGGAGACATCGATGTTGGATTGAGCTTGAATATGTACCTCGCAGTTCCTTTCGGCAGGAGTGTAGCCCGTAAAGTTTGTCGATTTTTCTTCGTGTCACGAAAACTTTGCGACGGGAGCTTCGGCGGTGAAGAGACCGATAATGGTTTCCATCATATCGAAGAACCCCTGAACAGAACCTGGGAAGTTTTGGACTCGGATGATGTTTTTAACGAGAAGCTGGATATGCCCGAACACGAGGGCGGTGCCCGAAGGGATTTTTCAGTTAGGAGAAGTTTTTTAGAGAGAGCCAGGCTTGATGCTTCGCGGGTTCTCGAGATTTTACTGCAAGATGAGCCGGGATTCAATACGAAATCGGCTTTAGATGAGTTGAGTGTTAGAGTATCGGCTTTTCTCGTGAGACAGGTTCTTCTCGGGATCTTGAGGGCCATAAGTTATGATAGTAAAACCAGGCGTGCGAAACTAGCGTATAAGTTCATCATCTGGTCTGGCCAGCAAGAGAATTTCAGACACACAGCAAACTCCTATCATTTACTTATGAAGGTATTTGCAGAGTGTGGGGAATATAAGGCAATGTGGAGGCTGGTTGATGAGATGAACAGTGAAGGTTACCCAACCACTGCACAGACATTTAATATATTGATATGTACTTGTGGTGAAGCAGGCATCGCAAGAAAAGTTGTGGACCGATTCATCAAGTCGAAGAATTTCAATTTCCGGCCATACAGACACTCCTATAATGCAATTCTGCATTCGTTGTTGGTGATAAAACAGTACAGATTGATTGTGTGGGTTTATCAGCAGATGTTAGCGGATGGGTTTTCACCAGATGTTCTGACTTATAACATCCTCATGTGTGCAAACTATAGGTTAGGGAAACTAGATCGGTTTTATAGGCTGTTTGAGGAAATGGGTCGAGAAGGGTTTTGTCCAGATCTCCATACATACAACATTCTCCTCCATTTTTATGGGAAACGAGATAAACCTCTGGCTGCTCTCGAGCTGCTCAGGCATATGAGGGAAGTGGGCATGAGCCCTAGCATGCTCCATTTCACCACGTTGATAGACGGCCTGAGTCGAGCTGGAAACTTAGAGGCTTGCAAGTACTTTTTCGACGAAATGGTGAAAACAGGGTTCATACCGGACGTCGTTTGCTACACTGTGATGATCACAGGGTATATCATGGCCGGGGAGTTTGAGAAGGCTCAAGAGTTGTTCAACGAGATGACGCTTAAAGGACAACTGCCTAACGTTTTCACGTACAATTCCATGATACGAGGGTTTTGTATGGCGAAAAAGTTCAAAGAGGCATTGGCAATGTTCAAGGAAATGAAATCCAGAGGGTGTGAACCGAATTTCGTGGTGTATAGGACGCTGGTGAGTTATCTACGGGACGCTGGCATGCTTTCAGAGGCTCGCGAGGTAATAAGAGACATGGTGGAGAAAGGACAGTATGTTCATCTTGTTTCAAAGATCAGAAAGTATAGGAGATATGATTAGCATATGATTCAATTTCACCATATCCTGAAATAATTTTTGTATTACCAGTGGGGGTGTTCTGAAATTTTGCTTAAGAAGCAGATGAGGAAAAAGTGAAGAGATTATTCACATGTTCTTGTATTTTGGGTTTGTAGCTTTGATTCTTTTTCTCCTTCTAAACAAAGAGAAAAAGCTCCTTCCTCTTTTAATGATGATCCTTCACATTTTCAACCTCGGACACGTTCTTCTGTAAAACCAAGAACATGTTTCAAGATTATCACTGTCGTCATTACATATCTTCAGTGATGAAATCCTACTGGACAACACATATATGTATGTATATACATACATATATATATATGGAAAGATAGAGAACAACGATAGAAGAAGAAGAAGAAGAAGAAGAAGAAGAAGAAGAAGAAGAAGAAGAAGAAGAAGAAGTTTTTTAACTTGGATTTGGGCCACGTTAGCCATTAGGCCCATGTTATCGGACCCTCTAGTTCGTCAAGAAGGGACTCTTTAAGGATCTCTACTGCGTGTCTTCGCGATCGAGCACGGGGGGAAAAGGAGCTCGGCATCCGAGATCGGAATTCCATCGGAAAACAACGGCGGAGAAAGGAGGAGGATGCGTTCGTGACGGAGGTTTGAAATGAGAGATATGGCGTCTGGAGGAGGAGCCGGAGAGTACAACGAGGAGAGACATTTGCTGCGATCTAACGACGGCGACGGCAGTATCGGCGGAGAAGACGATCTCGATGTTGAAGCTCAGTCTCCGTCGATCAGGAGCGGTGGCAGAGGAGTTAGAGATCTGTTCAAGCATTTGGATCGCGGAATTTCGCTCTCCGGACGACGTCTAAGTTTCAAGCGTCTGGAGAATAGCAGAGTTGATAGAGAGCATTTCCACCCGTCTTCTTCTTCTTCTCCTCCCGCGTTGTCGTCCAGTGTGGAAAATACTCATGCTGACTGTCATCATGATTTCCGACATTCCGGGCACGGGCACGATGAAGGTAACGATGTTCTGGGTGACAGTGCTCCACCTGAATGGGCACTGTTGCTCATCGGCTGTCTAATTGGTGTCGCTGCCGGAATATGCGTTGCCGCCTTCAATTCAGGGGTACGATCATGTCTCGATTCGACCTCGATTTACTATGTTGTGCGTAGTTATCTTATCTAGATCGATTCTTACGGTTTAGATTTTGGGCTATATTGCTTGGCTTCTGATTCGATTGCTTGGCTTCTGATTCGATGGAGTAGTGTTTGGAATTTTCTTTGTCTAGGTTCATGTAATTCATGAGTGGGCATGGGCTGGTACTCCGAACGAGGGTGCTACTTGGCTTCGCCTGCAGAGACTGGCTGATACTTGGCATCGAATTCTTCTAATTCCCGTCACTGGAGGAGTTATTGTGGGAATGATGCATGGTTTGCTTGAAATCTTAGACCAAATCAGGCAATCCACTTCTTCTCAAAGGCAAGGACTTGATCTCCTTGCTGGTATATTTCCCACAATAAAGGCCATCCAAGCCGCTGTCACACTTGGTACGGGATGTTCATTGGGTCCTGAGGGACCTAGCGTCGACATTGGGAAATCCTGTGCCAACGGGTTTGCCCTTATGATGGAAAACAATAGAGAAAGGAGAATAGCTCTTACTGCTGCTGGTGCGGCTTCTGGGATTGCTTCAGGTATCATCTAGAGACCATATTGTTGAATACTTCAATTTTTTCGAAACGTTCATTGCCGGAGTGGTAAATGGACCAATCAGCAACATAACATCCTTCACCGTTTTGTTCATTGTATGATGTTGCTCTACCCATCATTAGCTTTATCCTGTAGATTTTCATCAATGAATATATGTGCTCCATTCATGGGACCTTTTGGGGTAAATCAATCTTTCCCCCTGCTTATGCTTTTTCAATCTCGTTATCTCAGAAATGTGTTTGCCATTGTATTATAGTTGCAAAATCCTTTGTTTATTCTACAGGGTCTAGATTCTAGTCTGAGATTATATTCTGGATATGACTTTTTCTAAGTTTGATTCTAGAGGTCGGTGCTTCCCTTACTTTTAAATGGGAGAGCAATAAGACCTGCACTAGAAACCTTCACCTTTTTTTCAGATAACTTATTTGGGCTTACCCCTTTCGTGGTTATTAAGCTCTTCCAAACAAGCGCTATTTCTATAAGTTCTGATAATTTTCCTTCTCATTGATGTTGAAGTATCAAATTTTTACCTCTTTTGATTTTTCTTTCTCGCTCCAGGTTTCAATGCAGCCGTGGCTGGTTGTTTCTTTGCTATCGAGACTGTCTTAAGACCTCTCCGTGCTGAGAATTCACCTCCATTTACCACAGCAATGATAATCTTGGCTTCTGTTATATCATCTACTGTGTCAAACGCTTTGATGGGGACTCAATCAGCTTTCACAGTTCCCTCGTACGACTTGAAGTCTGCTGCAGGTATGTTTCTTTTAATGGGAAGTTCAACTGAAAGCCTTTCTGTTAGCTTCTGTACTGACTTCTGAGTCGTATATGATCTGGTATCCAGATGAATAGATGATCATGATAAAGTATTTTGCTATTCTAAAATACTAAAGATCGACGTATATTTGCTATAACGGGTGTTTTGTTGCAAAATTCCGACATGTTTTCACTTTGTCTCCAGAGCTCCCTCTGTACCTGATATTGGGCATGTTATGTGGTGCTGTCAGCGTTGTTTTTTCTCGCCTTGTCACGTGGTTTACCAACTCATTTGACTTCATCAAAGACAAGTTTGGTCTTCCTGCTATTGTGTGTCCTGCATTAGGCGGTTTAGGAGCTGGTATGATTGCTCTCAAGTAGAAGTCTGCTGCGGGTTTGTTTCTTTTAACCTGTTAACTTCCTCTCTGACTTCCGAGTAGTATGAGATCTGAGATTGATTGGATAGATAACCATGATAAAGTACTTTGATACATTAAAATACTGAAGATCGATGTTATTTACTGTAATGGGTGTTTTCACTTTTGTCTCCAGAACTCCCTCTGTACCTGATATTAGGCATGTTGTGTGGTGCTGTCAGCGTTGTGTTTTCTCGCCTTGTCACATGGTTTACCAAGTCATTTGACTTCATCAAAGACAAATTCGGCCTTCCTGCTATTGTTTGCCCTGCATTGGGTGGCTTAGGTGCCGGTATGATTGCTCTCAAGTACCCTGGAATTCTGTACTGGGGCTTCACAAATGTTGAGGAAATTCTACATACGGGAAAGAGTGCTTCAGCTCCTGGAATATGGTTATTGAGTCAGTTAGCCGCGGCCAAAGTAGTGGCAACTGCTCTGTGTAAAGGCTCTGGGCTTGTAGGTGGTCTATATGCCCCAAGTTTGATGATTGGTGCTGCTGTTGGTGCTGTATTTGGAGGTTCGGCAGCAGAAATCATCAACAGAGCCATTCCCGGAAACACTGCTGTTGCACAGCCACAAGCATATGCCCTGGTAAATTTCTCCCTTTGACACTGGCCCTGCTCTCAATGCAACTTTCTGATTTCAATCTTGTCCAGCCCGCTTTCTCCACATCAGTGAAATCAAATATCTGATGCAGGTTGGAATGGCTGCAACACTAGCTTCGGTCTGTTCGGTGCCCTTAACGTCAGTATTACTGTTATTCGAGCTGACAAAAGATTATAGGATACTGCTTCCTCTCATGGTAAATTTGTTTTACCCCACGATCCTTGTCTATGTTGTGCTGTCTTGATGATGCACTTGTAATTTGGTAGAAGATCCCTTAGAGGTGGACTATGAACTTTTACCGAACATCTCGGGTAAACTCATCTCAGCAATATAGCGCAGAAGCCTTTCTTTTCAAAATCAGTTCTTCCTAGCTGTAAACTGCTCCATCTATCATCCTTCGGGTTAACCTGAAATCTCAAGTTACTCTAGTTCACAAAAGGTTAAAGAGCAATGCTAGTATCATTTTTTTATGTGACCTGTTTATATGGTGGGAGAATATAAACACGGTCCTCTGTTGTGATTGTAATATGTTTGAAAGTTGAATTGTCTAAGCTCTTCTTGACCAGATTTCTCTCGTCAATTGTCGGTATCAAGTTGTCTCATTTTAATCTCTTATTGATATGATTTTCCTCGTCAATTTCGGCGAATAGGGAGCTGTTGGGTTAGCAATATGGGTGCCGTCTGTAGCAAATCAAGGCAAAGAGGGCGATGCTTCTGATGTTCGGAACACAGTAGTGAGGAGGGGTTATACTTCCGTTTCATCGAACGAACATAAAAACGAAGCCCTGGAGCTTTCGGTCATGGAGAATGCTAACCACAAAAGCCTGGATGAAGAAACTATTCTGGAAGGCTTCAAGGTGTTTGTCTCCAATCTGTTTTTCTCTTTTCTCGTTTGCCCCAGCGTATATGAAGATTTCATCAATCATCATGTGTTAGGATCTTGGTTTAGATTCCCATCATTTATTTTTCCAAACAAGTTAATCTGCTTCGATTTTGATTTTCAGGTTTCTCAGGTTATGTCAAAGAACTATGTGAAGGTTTCCCTCAGTACAACTCTAAGAGAAGCTAAAAAATTCCTGAATGAAAGCCGCCAGAACTGTGTTCTTGTGGTTGAGGATGATGATGAGGATTTGCTAGCTGGAATCTTAACGCTTGGCGATATCAGACGGTACTTGTCCAAGAACGAACCAATAACGTTAGATGTATGTAAACACCGACAAACCTATTTGAATCACACACTCTGCTTCTTGCACTTGAATGAATAACCCTTTCTTCTCTTGCAGGAGAATCTGTGTCCCGTCTCTTCGGTATGTACCCGGAAAATAAGCTACCGTGGCCAAGAACGCGGACTACTAACGTGTTATCCCGGCACGATGGTGGGTGTTGCAAAGGAGTTGATGGAGGCCGGAGGCATCAAGCAGTTGCCCGTTGTAAAACGCAGCAAAGAACCTCACAAAGGAAATAGGCGGAGAGTGCTCGGCCTCGTGCATTACGATTCCATCTCGAGTTTTCTCAGGTAACGAGTTCTTTACATTCGCCCGTTATATCCCACAGCAATCTCGATATCGACCTCAAAGTATAGATCATTTAACAACGTTTAAACTAGGGGATAGGCAATGTCAAGAAACCCGAGGGGGTGAGGCCAAGGTCGGGTATGCCGGAAAAACTCGGGTACTCAGACCCGTGCCCACCCCCCACATTTAACTGACGTTTACTTTGTGAAGTCGGGCAGACATGGTTTACATACAGAGCAAAGCTGAGTATTCTTCTGTCTTCTTTCTTCATTCTTGTTGTTGCGTAATACGCAGAGACGAAGTGGAACGCAGGAGATCGATCTACAACGAAGACGTTGGTGCAAACGCGCATTGACGAAAGGAATCGCAAAGAGGGGATATAGTTTCTTCTAGTTCCATGGATTAGAACACAGAGAGAAAAGAACCTTACTTTTGTAGTTTTACAAAGTTCTGTATATGAAAAGTGAAATGTTTTTTTCCACCTTATATTGTAATCAAACACATTTCATAAAATCAATCGCATGTCGTAAGAAATTTATCATGGGGGTTAGATTATAATTATTTTCATTCATGTATAGAAATCACGTTGTTAGGATGAAAAGTAATAGATTCAAAAATCTCACAACTCTTGTATATATTATTTAAAAATGGGTGGTAAGAACTATGTTTATGTAATGTGAATGAGAGACCGAGTCAAATTCATTGGATTTGATTGTTGTATTTTTACTTTTATTTTGATAATTCGGAAAAAAAAATCCGAGCTTTCGACCCGACTACATATTCTAAAGTCTGAAAACAGTCTGTATACCGTAAATACAGACCTAGCTCCATCCCTAACCTATGGCTCGAATATGGATATGGGACAAAGACATTCCACGCTTCTCAACCAGCTACATCACTACGGTCTTGATTGTTGCACTTTCATATGGATTTCTTGATAGATAGATAGATGAGCTTTTAGCTCTTAAAATTTAAAAAGTTGCAAGTTATTAATTATATTATAATGTGGTGAGGGGTTCAAAGGGCAATTATATGTATTGATGAATAAATCATCGCATGGAAAAGAGATGTAGAAAGATTAAGTGTCACAGTATTGAGTCCTTCAAACTTTCAACTAAAGAGTTTTGAATTTAAAATGTTAGGAAATGGACAAAATTCAATACATAGTTTAACCCACTGATTTGGATATGATGGAATTGTGTTGCTATATATATATATATATATAAAGGTTGGTGTAATGAATGATAATTCCTATATATGCTTAGCTTTTTTTTCATAATTAGGTCGGTCCTTAATGTCAAACCAAATGATGGAAAGAAACACAAATATATAGGGGAAAAACAAGATCCCCAAAATCTTAAATCCACACAATGAAAATGAAATTGAAATCTGTATTTGGAATACTTGCAACTCAAAATTCGGATTTAAATAGAATAATATATATATATATATATATATATATATATCAATTTCAATTAATATTCCATAATTGAAAATTGAAAAGATGACCCCTTGACGAATTTTTTTAAAAATAGAAGATCCGAAAAATAAACTATATAATTGTAAAATAAATTATAATCATTTGACTGCAAATAGATACCTTGTATATATAATCTAATACACTTTGGACGATCCCTGCATGCATTATGAATATGAACGAGGAAACTATTTGTCAATTTCCTTTATATTCTTTTCTAGTTTAAATAATTATATATGGGACCATATGTCTTTCTTTTAAGCTTTTTGTTGCTTCTTTCACAATCTTTTGGATTACTGATAAAGAAAAATAATAATAATAATAATAATAATAATAATAATAAGAAAAACAAAAAGGTGGTTGTAATTAGGACAAATCAGAAACTGTTTAGACATCATTAAGATTTGGCTCATCATTAGCAAAACAGTGTTCATCCTCACATGAAATCCTCGTCTTATCAACTTCCACTTGATTATGTAATTTGATTATTTCCCACTGCCTGATCTCTTAATGTATCTACAACTATATATATACATATATATATAAATAAACATGTTTTTTCCTATTTTTGTGCGTATAATTTCGTGCATGAAGTTTCATGCATGAATAATTATAATACGTGAATGGCCAAGACTAGGCATATTTGTGAAAATATTTGTGGTTATTTTTTTTTATTGGTAATACAATATATGTTCAAGTTAAAACAATGAAGTATAACTGCTCTGATTATATATATTAGAATAAAAAATATATATATTAAACGAGGTGGATAAGGTTTATATGCTTCAGCTTCATTGTGTATATGGCTACATTTTATTTGTAAGTGAGACCAAACTTTAATTTTATGTGGAATGCGAATGTTAGTTAAACCAAAAGAAAGTTAAGGAATTGGATTATATAATTTGAGTGTTGATAGGGTTATTCCAACTTTAAATCTTAAAAGCTTTTAGAATTAACTGATTCAATAGATCTACACAAAATATTATATATATATATATATTCATGATTTAGTAATATCTAATATTTTTTTTCTTAGGAAAAATATATTTCAACATTTAATAATACAAAAGAAAGGGTTTTAAAAAAAAGGACGACAAACTGTGTCTGCATGGGTGGTTTGGTCTACGGTCGACTTTTCAATCCATCCAACAAAATATCAAACGCCACGTTCTTTTCTTTTTTTCTTTTTTTTTTTTTTGTACGATGGGAAACCCCTATCCTACAACCCTTCGGGTCGGACACCGGACACCGCAACGCCTCTCAGCCCATAGACCGGACGAGAACAGCATGCAGAGCAGGTAAACCAGCTTCGTAAAGCTGACCGGCTCAAGGGGAGTACCATACCTAGGATTCGAACCCACAACCTCATGGTAGAGGGGGGTTGTCATTAACCACTAGGCTGTGAGACTCCCCCAAACGCCACGTTCTTCCTTCTTCTTTCTGTCATTATCCAATAATTTAATCACACGGATTTGTTATATGCCTTAAATTCATGTATGTATCCACATATATACGCACTATGCACACGCACATCAACAACAAATTAAATATAGTAACAAATATTTCTGTATATATATGTATATTGATGGCATATATATGGATATTATATATACACGTATACCACAAGATTTACGAGAAAAATTATTATAAACCAAAGGCATATACACACACGCGCACATATATATATATATATATTATGCACACGTACATCAATAACAAAACATAACAAATCTTACGGTATATGTATGTATGATGGTGGCATGTGTGGATATATATACACACACTACACTCATGTCACAAGATTTATCAGAACAATTTATGATAAGCCAAAGGTATGCACTACATCTACATATATACATACATATATATATACACACACACACACATCATTATGTTTACGTTAGCAGAGAAATTTCGGACAAAGAATCTAATAGCATTGATGTGAGATGTGTCCGTACGGTTACAACGCAATAGACTCGTCTTTTGACCAAAATCGTCGGTATGATTTTTGTTCATTGTCGTTCCCATTCACTCCGTTGCTTTGCTTGCAACCAAAATTTTCAAAGAATATGAAAAGTCTATGGAACGTCTTTTCGTAACAAAATAAGATAATATAATCGTAAGCTTAATGAATTTATTTCCACCGGAAAATAGTGTGATATAATGATGACAAAAAAAAAGTTATTTGACCGATCGACCCATTAATAATATATGGGTACCAATAATGTGTGTTACTTACCCTAATAAATGAAATTTTTTCTAAATTGATTACAATTTTTATTCAAGATTTCAACGACCCCTGATTATAATGCTAATTACCCAATTAACGGTGATACATATATATATATATATATATAATATACACAAGAGATTAACATGAGAACCGATAAAAGATAACACTGAATTGAAGCTTATCATTTATGATGTATATAGGTTACGGTTACGTTGTGGTTTATCTCACACAAAGCGTGCATTAATATATGTTTAAATGCTATTCTTACGTCTCATTGTTGACGGAGGCCCCATACAAATATTATATATCTATATATACATATTTTATTTTTAATCAATTTTAATATATATATATATATATATTAAGATTTATTAAAATTATATATTTTTCAATCATAAAATATAAAATTAATGTTATATTATTTTGATATGATAACATTACAAAATTTTTATTTTATTTTAAATTTATGACAATTTTTAAAATTCAAAAGAACACAATTTTTTCCAAACAAAAATAAGGCCCCAAACAATTAGGGGCCTTATTCAAATGTACCCCTTGCACGGCTGTGCTTACTCGTCAACTCGTTAGCCCTTATGACTTATTTAGGGTTTGCAAATTGCAAATTCGTAGCGGCGGGTTTTACTTCCACGCGCTGAAGATAGCGCGTCGCTGTGGGACCCACGTGAGGATAATTAGCAAATCCGGTCGCCCTCCGTTTTGACCAACTTTTTTTATTTTAAATATTTGAACATACCAGAAGAATATAACAATACAAAAATATCATATAATTTTGCACAAAAAACGTCATTTCTAATCATATTTAAATCGAATTTAATTTAAAAAAAATTAAAATAATATTGTATAGCAAAAATAAAGATAAACCAATAAACATTACACAAGCATATAATTATTTTTATAAAATAAATGTTACAGAAAATTAAATCCTAACTAAACCATAATAAAATAAAAAGTAATATAAAATCAATATATATATATATATATAAGTTTTAATGATCGAATGCGAGATTACCAATAATAAAATTTAGGAGCTTTTAATTTTCTTTCGACCATAACCCTCATTTTTAGATACAAGGCATTAATTCATCGATATAAATATCTTAAATATATGATTTTTAAACATATAATTTTAAAATAAAATAAGATCAAACCAACAACCAGAAATCTAATCTTATATATGTTATAATCCTTAATTTATATCTAAGCCATTGCGCAAATTTGAAAAGTAGAATAAGCTAAATGTTAAATCGGACTAATTTTTATTTTCTCGTTTGTAATACTATAGATTATATCCTATGAAAAAGTTCATACTTTAATTATGTTATTAAACATTAGTATATCTGTATATATATTCATGGGCAGATCTAGAAAAGTTTATTAATGGAGGCAATATAAAAATTATTATAATGTAAGAGATAAATTTAAATTTTTTATGGAGATATTTAACAATTTTTGTTAGAAATTTATGAAATTTATAATGAAATTAAGTTTTTTAAATAAAATGAGTGGGGACATATGCCCCCATAGTTTATAACGTAGATCGATCGATCTACCGGTATTGTTAAATTTTTTCTATATTGGAATTTTTTTTATACTTGTACGAATAGTAAATACTAAATTGGATTTTTTTTTGGTATAAGTTGTCATGTTTTCGGCAAAGAATTTTTGTAAATAGGTTGAAATTTTCGAAATTAATTTAAAATTAAATTGAAGAAAAAAGACGGATAATTAGGCAGATTTAGTTGCGAGGATTCCGTTGTTTGACAGTGAAAGAAATATTATTTAAGTCATACTGATTTGATTAAACTTTCAAATCCTATAGTCTACAATCTTTTTATTTTTGTTTTTATTTGTCTCTACACTATACATATATATATAATCTAAATCAAATAGAATAATACTTTTGGTCTTATATAAAATATGAATAATACTTTTTTCACGTTACATTGGTTTAGAATAGATAAAATGTAACCAAAATTCTCTTTGCGAGGATTAGGAATTTAATCCGAACATAATTAATTTTGTTTTGAATATCATTTTTTCATTAACTAATTGTTTCAAAATCCATTTTTTTTTAATTTCAGATGTTGATACTCTACATCTACACGTTAATTTCATATTGAGACTCAACATCAACTCTCATTTATACCAGCATACCAAGAAATAAAATTATAATTAGAATAAAATAAAAATATATTTATTTGTAAAAAAGAAGTGACGATATAATTCCAAAGTATTTTACAAAATTATTTCTGTTTTTTTTTTTTTTAAAAAAAAAGATACATAAAATGTGTAGTGGGATGCGAATCTTGAGGTCACCACCACAAGATATGCGCTCGTGCGCACAAGAAACCGACAAAAAAACTGCCTCTGTATTCCCCCGCCCCCTACGTCTCCGCGCCCCGAACCCTTTTCCGGTTTTTCATAATTCATCCTTTTTATTAATTTTGTTATTTTTCTACCCAATGCATATATTCTAAACAATAATAATTATATATTTATAATTAGTTTTTGTTGGAAAATATCTATAAAATTAATTACTTTTCATTGATTTCATTGTTGGAAAATATCTATAAAAATAACAATTATCAATCGTGATTCAATGTTACTAAATTAAATACGTCTCTACATATATTATTAGGCATTAGTCCATCCTTACAAAAAAAAAAAACATATAACTCTATTCCATTTTTTAATTTTCTATGTATATTAATATGGAGGGATAGAGTAGTCTTCGAGAACAATTTTGTCTCTTCCCCATAACGTATTCTTCATGTGATTGTGAATATATATATATTTATATATGTCACGGATTTTTCGACCCTAAGGTTTTATTTTCTATTATCCATGAAGTTATTTTATCGATTGATGGTGCGCTTGCTGGATTTCACTGCCCGATAGGATAATATTTATATGTATTTACGCATATATTAAGGTGGAATACACGAGACGAGGATATGCAAGATACGGATTTGAATTTAAAGTATTAATTATATATATTTTAAATAGATTTGATGTATACAGTATACTAACTAATAGACTTGTACATGGTTTGGTAGAAGTTAGATAGAGTAGGCTTGCTTTGAATTGTGGACATTTAGGGTTTATTCAAAGTAAGTTTATATATATATATATATATAATTGAGTAATGCACTTCAATGTTATTAAAAATAGTTTTAATTATTTAAATTAATTTATATAAAACTAATATTAATTTTATTCATTGTTTAATGACATCAAAATCTTCCTATTTTCTGTCATATATATAATCAATTTATATTTTTTCTAAATCTATCTCATATTTATATACATTTATAGTTTTTCTTATTATTTTATGAATATTGGAAGCGGTCCTTTTTTAACAGGACTTATGTAAAACGTCTTGTGTATACTATATATATATATATATATGTATATATATATATATATATATAAATATACATAGTTGTATGGTTTTTATTTTTGGTAAGGCACTATGCTTATTGTGGACCAACCTGCCATTGATTTTCCTCATATATATATATATACACACACGCATGTAACAAGATAAGTCGATCTCATTTTATTGCACCATGCATGATTTTTCGTCGACAAAAGAATCACATTTATTTTTTTTTGGAAACACCATATTATCTTTTTGTAATGTAAAATGTGTGGGGGGAAATTTCATGGAATAACATTAAGGGGTAAATATATAAACTACTAAAAATATATGTGGTCATAATTAATATCCGAAAAAGTAAAGACGACAATACTATAGACAAGAACAATACTTTTATTTTATTTTCATCGGCTGGTGCTTCGTGCGTGCCGTGTAGGGTTATAGAGAGTGTTGTTAAAAAATTAAAAATTATTACGAGGCCTTTATCGTAGTTGTATAGTAATGTTTTATTTTAGTTTTACTATTAAAAAATAATCTTTTTTTTGTATATTTTATATGAAAACGAGAGACGTACGTGACGGGCAATTCAACCTGCCCGAAAAAGGCAGAGATATTATTTTGGAACGTGAAAAGAATCAAATCCAAGGTTTGACTAAGTAACCGGAAAAAGTGGGAAACTAATATTTCGAATTTTATAAATTTTAAATTGAAAATTTTTATAAAGTATAATTATTTTGATGACTGTTATTTTAAAAAATATTTATTTATATTTTTCAATTTTTTAATGTTATCTGTATTGATATGGGTGATATTTTGAACTGTTGATATGTATATATATAATCAGTATATTTTTTGAGTTTTTAATAATTTTATATATTTTAGTAAATTATGTATGTTATGTTTTGCAAATCTCTTGAACTTCTAATTTCGTATATTAAATTTCAAATCCAAAGTTTATAATAATTTATGCTTCGGTTAGAAGGCAAAATGTTTTGCATGACATATGTGTAACACGTTACACAGAAACATTTTTACATTTTAAATTATTTGTAATGACAAATACCTAACTAAAAAAATAAAATTAAAAAAGTAGTTATCATATTTAATTTACAAGTCTATAATGTAGTTTTAATGAACCATAGAAATTCGACGCTCTCTCCCCTCACCATGGAAAAAATGTGCTGTAAAATCAGATTCAAAAGAATTAAATAAATTGAGCGCACTACTAATTTTAGAATTGGATTAATAAATTAGAAAACAATAGTTTAGTAGTCCAAATAAAAAAAAATATTATATCTTATATTGGAATTTATTAAATGATCAATATAACATTAGTAGTGATTATTTTATATATATTCCTAACGATGAAACATAACTGGATACCATTTTTGTTTTTTTTTGTTTTTTATATTGGTAAATTTGTAAAACCCATAATTAATAATTTGGGTTTTGAAAATTTAGATAACACCATTTTTCAGGATAAAGATTAAATTTATAGCAAGATAAAAGGAAAGAAAAGGGAATTAATTAGTCTGTAACATGATATGATTATGCTCTTCCCCTCTATTTTTTTTTCCCTTAGGATTCAGTCTCTTATTTTTGTCTGCTTTTGCTTTCCCTCATCCTTTGTTCTTTCCTCTTTGCCCATTTTCCTCTCTGTTGCTTTTTCAATTTCTTCGCAAAGAGGGGGAACAAAAAACGAAGGACAAAGAACACATTCGCTTCTTCTCAGGATCCTTCGTCTCCGGTAATGCAAAACACAACCTTTTTTTTTTGTTTATCTCTCTCTCAGCTAAATCGAAGAAACCTTTGAAATTCTCAGACTCGTTTCGTTGAGAAAAAAATATAGGTCTTTATGTCCGGGAAAATTTGTGTTTTTTCCCGGAAAATTCTTTTTTTTTTTGCCATCCCTTTTTCTGGGCGGTGGCCGTACTAAAAACGCTTCCTTGTTGACGGTGCGTAAAAGCAGCTCCAGTTATGGAATCTTGAAACCAGTTTTTTTTTTTGGCTTGTTTGGGTGGAGGGTTTTTTTTTTTGTTTGTTTGGGTCCGACCATCTCTGCAACATCGTACTCGAGCAGACAGCTCTGTCAAAGACTACCTTGTTGTCTTCTTCGTAAGCTGAACTCTTTGTCTCTCTGTACTTCTTCTGTCTCTCTCTCTCTCTTTCTCTCTCCTTCACCGTCACCGTCGCCCTCCTTGTCATCCGGTTAGGTTATACTCTTTGTTTCTCCACAAAACCTCTCCCTTTTTTTTCCTCCTATTGATACGCCTACTCGTATCTACTTTTTGTTTTCTTCTTAATTTCAACAACTTTGAACAAGTTCTGGGATTTTGATTTTTGTTATTCTAAAGTTTGCATCTTTCCCCTTGGATTTCAGTGTTGCCAGCTCTGCTTCCATGGAGTTTTAGAGGACTTGAGCTCTGAGACGACAGTAGAAGAGTATTAGAAGAGACAGTCAAAGACAAGTTCTTCATGTAATTCTGCTGCTTGTGTTGTTCCGTCTCTGGTTCTGTCTGCTTATGGATCACAAGTGAGAAAACAGAATATTTGTATTCCTTCGTGATACTCGATTCAGACCCCGAAATCTGGAATTCAGGGATTTCAGTGACGAGTATCTAAGGCATTTGATCGAACATTTGGCGGGCTATGAAAATGAAGCGACAATGGCTGTTCCTGATAATCTGCAGTTTTGTCTTGTTTCTGGCGATGGGCATTCATGGGAAACGGTTAATCGGCGTCGGCAACAGCGAAGCTGCTCTGTTAATGGCGTTCAAGCACTTCTCTGTGGACTCGGACCCTAACGACCTTCTTGCGAACTGGAAATACGGGTCGGGTTGGGTTCCATGTTCATGGCGAGGCGTCTCCTGCTCCGAAGATGGCCGCGTAGTCGGTCTCGACCTCCGCAACGGCGGACTCGCCGGAACCCTAAACCTCAGAAACCTCACGGAGTTGCAGAATCTCCGGAATCTCTACTTGCAAGGGAACTCCTTCTCGTCGGGAGACTCTTCCGGTTCCTCCGGTTGTTCTCTTCAGATTCTTGACTTGTCTTCGAACAAGCTTTCGGATTACTCGGTGGTTGATTACGTTTTCTCGAGCTGTTTCAATCTGGTTTCCGTCAACTTCTCCGCCAACAAGCTCGCCGGAAAACTGGGTTCTGCTCCGTCTTCGTGTAAGAGCCTCGCCACCGTCGATATCTCTTACAATCTCCTGTCGGAAGGGATCCCTAAGACTTTCATCGCCGATTCTCCGGCGTCGCTAGAGTACCTCGATCTGTCGCACAACAATTTCTCCGGCGAATTCTCCGGCGTGGATTTCTGGCCGTGTGGGAACCTCACCTTCCTCAGTCTGTCTCAGAACAGTCTCTCCGGCGATAAATTCCCGACCAGTCTGTCCAGCTGCAAGCTCCTCGAGACGCTCAACGTCTCCCGCAACAGCCTCGCCGGAAAAATTCCCGGTGGTGGATTTTGGGCAAGTTTCCAGAGCCTGAAGCAGCTCTCCCTAGCTCACAACCGGCTTTCCGGCGAGATTCCACCGGAGATGGCTCAAATCTGCAGAACACTCGAGGTCCTCGATCTCTCCGGGAACCTTCTCTCCAGCGAGCTACCGGAGACATTCACCCGTTGCAGTTCATTACAGAGCCTAAACCTCGGAAACAACATGCTCGCCGGAGATTTCCTCAGCACTGTCGTGAGCAAGCTTCCGAGACTGGCGTATCTGTACGCAGCCTTCAACAACATCACCGGTTCTGTCCCGCTCTCGATCACGAACTGTACGAATCTCCGAGTTCTCGATCTGAGCTCAAATGGGTTCACCGGAAACGTACCATCTGGTTTCTGTTCTCTGCAAAGCTCGCCGCCTTTGGAGAAGATACTCATAGCGAACAATTACCTTTCCGGCATGGTTCCTGTGGAGCTCGGCAAATGCAAGAGCTTGAAGACAATCGACTTCAGCTTCAATGCCCTAATCGGTCCGATTCCAAAGGAGATTTGGACACTTCCGAATCTGTCGGAATTGGTAATGTGGGCAAACAATCTCACAGGAGAGATACCTGATGGCATTTGCGTTGATGGTGGAAACCTGGAAACACTCATCTTGAACAACAATCTATTAACTGGCTCGATACCAGAATCTATCTCGCGGTGCACGAACATGTTATGGATCTCGCTGTCGAGCAATCGGCTAACAGGGAAAATCCCAACAGGGGTCGGAAACCTCGTGAACTTAGCAATTCTGCAGCTGGGGAACAATTCCTTGACTGGAAACGTTCCTCCTGAGCTTGGGAACTGCAGAAACCTCATCTGGCTAGACCTGAACAGCAACAACTTAACCGGAGATCTCCCTTCCGAGCTCGCGACTCGGGCTGGTTTTGTAATGCCGGGGAGCGTCTCGGGTAAACAGTTTGCGTTTGTGAGAAACGAGGGTGGAACAGACTGCAGAGGGGCGGGTGGGCTGGTTGAGTTTGAAGGCATCCGAGCCGAGCGGTTGGAGGGTTTTCCCATGGTTCACTCGTGCCCAGCTACGAGGATTTACTCGGGCATGACCATGTACACATTCTCCAGCAATGGCAGTATGATCTACTTGGATCTATCGTATAATTCCATTACCGGCTCGATTCCTCCAAGCTTCGGATACATGAGCTATCTTCAAGTCTTGAACTTGGGACACAACCGGTTAACCGGAACCATACCCGACAGTCTCGGAGGATTGAAGGCGGTCGGGGTTCTTGATCTGTCCCACAACAATCTCCACGGCACATTACCAGGATCGCTCGGGACACTTTCCTTCCTCAGCGACCTCGACGTCTCTAACAACAATCTCTCTGGTTCGATCCCTTTTGGAGGCCAGCTCACGACATTCCCATTCTCAAGATATGCTAATAACTCTGGCCTTTGCGGTGTCCCCCTCCCGCCCTGTAGCGGCTCGGGACCCCGACCCACGAGCTCCCGCCTCCATCCCAAGAATCAAACTTCTGCTGCCACTGGTATGATCACGGGTTTCGCATTTTCTTTCCTATGCGTCCTGTTGCTTGTTCTGGCGCTTTACCGGGTGAGGAAAGTGCAGAAGAAGGAGGAACAGAGAGAGAAGTACATAGAGAGATGGCGTGGCCCAATGCCAGCTCCCGCCTCCATCCCAAGAATCAAACTTCTGCTGCCACTGGTATGATCACGGGTTTCGCATTTTCTTTCCTATGCGTCCTGTTGCTTGTTCTGGCGCTTTACCGGGTGAGGAAAGTGCAGAAGAAGGAGGAACAGAGAGAGAAGTACATAGAGAGCCTTCCGACCAGCGGCAGCAGCAGCTGGAAGCTCTCTAGCGTTCCCGAGCCACTAAGCATCAACGTGGCTACATTCGAGAAGCCATTGCGGAAACTAACCTTTGCTCACCTCCTAGAGGCCACCAATGGGTTCAGTGCCGACAGCCTGATCGGGTCAGGAGGGTTTGGAGAGGTCTACAAAGCCGAACTCAAAGACGGGTCAGTCGTGGCGATCAAGAAGCTGATTCATGTCACTGGTCAGGGAGACAGAGAGTTCATGGCCGAGATGGAGACGATCGGAAAGATCAAACACAGGAACCTGGTTCCGCTTCTGGGTTACTGCAAGATCGGAGAAGAGAGGCTTCTTGTCTACGAGTACATGAAATGGGGAAGCTTAGAGAGCGTTCTCCATGACGGAAGCAGAAAAAATGGCGGTGTGTTTCTTGACTGGGCAGCGAGGAAGAAGATCGCCATTGGAGCGGCTCGTGGTCTAGCCTTCCTGCACCATAGCTGCATCCCTCACATCATTCACAGGGACATGAAATCGAGCAATGTCCTTCTAGACGAAGAACTCGAGGCTCGGGTCTCGGATTTCGGAATGGCAAGGCTGGTGAACGCTCTGGACACGCATCTGAGCGTGAGCACGCTTGCAGGTACACCTGGTTATGTCCCGCCTGAGTATTACCAGAGTTTTCGGTGCACGGCCAAAGGAGATGTCTACAGCTATGGCGTTGTACTGTTAGAGCTTCTCTCTGGCAAGAAACCGATCGATACGGGGGAGTTTGGAGACGACAACAACCTGGTCGGGTGGGCGAAACAGCTGTTCAGAGACAAGAGGGGCAGCCAGATTCTGGATCCAGAGCTCGTGTCGGAAAAATCCAGGGATGTGGAGATGTTTCACTATCTGAAGATCGCGTTTCAGTGTCTGGACGACAGGCCATTCAAGAGACCCACCATGATTCAAGTGATGTCCATGTTCAAAGAGCTTCAGGTCGATACGGAGAACGACAGTCTCGACGAGTTCTCCCTCAAGGAAACGCCTTTCGTCGAAGAATCTCGGGATTAGGAGGAGGAGCCTCGAAGATTCCAGAAAGTTCGGGAAGATTTCATTCTTCTTTCTTCTGGACTGAAATGTCGGGTGGGGTGTATATACAGGAGGAGGACAGAGGACGAAGCAGATGTCTCCGGTGATGATGCGACATGGTTTTAGTGAAGGGCTTTAGTATTCAGTTAGTTTTGTTCGTTTTGTTTGCTTCTGATTCAGAGGGAGGCTTTTAGTCTTTGTTATTGTTTCACACGATTTTTAAGATTTAGAGGAGTCTCTCTCTCTCTTGTAAAGTTTTGTACCTTCGCCGATTTTTTTTTTGAAATTTAATTACCATGATGTCCTTTTTTGCTGAACTACAAAAAGGCTATATTTTTAGCTATTATATTCTTTAATTCTCTACCAACACAAACTTAAAGAATAGTTTTCCCACATATTCCTCGTACTGTAGAAAAATATTGAAATATGTCAAAACGTAAAAATATGTACGAATTTAATTTGGAATAAATAATTACGTATCGTAATCTAATGTAGAGATTTTACACACGGATAAATATAACATATCAACTAGTTTTTGGTAGTATATGAAAACCACTTCTCTATGAACAAACTATACATATAGACAAGGGAATTCAAAAAAAAAAAATTGGGTAGCACAATATAAATCAGATTTTTCTACAAAAAATTTAATTATTTTTGGGTTAGAAATTTATATTTCATCAAAAAAAAATCAGAGAAACAGAGTCTCTGCTTATTTCATTGAGTTTTATGAGGTAAATCATACATGTGAGGGAAAAAAGAAGAAAAAAAAATCTTTGCAAGGGATAGACACACATACATGACATCTCAATTCATGTACATATGAATAACCAGCATGTGTATATATATCCGTAATCATTATAAATACGAACCAAATCCGAAATATTAATCAAATACCCAAAATCAAAAAAAAAAAGAAGGGAAAAAATTGTTGTCGTTGCTTGTTTTATGGAACATGACTCAGGCACCGGCGTAAGGCTGAGGCTTGGGCAAGCCCTTGACGAGGCCGCACTGAAGGCTGTTGGCGGGCATGTTGTATTCGTCTCGAAGGGAAGCCTCCGGGGACAGAACGCTCAGGTAAAGCTGCTGCCCCAAATATCTCCGCTCGATGTTCTCCGACCGGACATTCCACATTCCGCAGTTGTCGAACGACAGCAGGACCGCCGCCCAGCACTTGGGGAACACTTGCACCGTGTGTCTGCTCACCGCGTCCAACAGGTTGTAGTTCTCCCTCTTCTCCGGCGTCCACTTTCCCGGCTCCACCCTATGTATCAGTCCGGAAAAAATGTCGTTTCTTAATTTTTAGGTTTAGGGTTTGATTGCTTCTTTGTAATTACCATGATCTATGAAAAGGAGACGTAGGTTTTGCTTTTGTGTATTACTTACGCGACAGCGAAGAATGCGTATCCGTCGATGTGCCAAGACTGGACGCTTTTCTCGTGGTTCTCGAAGATGACCTCGACGAAGGTGCGGTGAGTGACGTTCAGGACGTTGGGCTCGACCTTGATGTTGCTTGTCTGGTCGGAGGTGGGGTTGTCGGAGATGATGTTGTACTTGAACACCTTGTCGGCCATTCCAAAGTACTCTGCTAACTTCACCGGCGTCTCTGGGTCGGTGTGAGAGACGCCGCTCATTGCGTATCTGAGCTTCCCATCGACCTTTCCTTGAGTGTTCACTAGCTTTATGGTCCTCGTGATGTTGATCTTTCCGTAATGGTACGACCCTTGAGGGTTCGGCCTAGCCGCACTCGCTGTCAGGTTCCACCTGAATGACCTGAACTGGTTCAGTGACCATGCCCATCCCACCGGAGCCGCCGGGATCTGGGATGAAGCCGGGCCATTCCCGCCCTCGTACCTCAGAACTCCGGTGGTGGTCAGGACAGTCTTCAAGAACCTGGTCGAGGCAACCATGTGATAGTCCTTAGGCTCCTGGTTCGCGGTCACGATGGTGCCATAGCACTGCCCGACATGAACGTCGAGAGAGTCGTAATCGTTCTGGAGAACGTGCGAGCCTTCCATCTCGACAAGCTTCAACTTATGGTTCTGGATTCTAAAGTTGAGCGATGTCTTGATCCCCACGTTACAGATCCTGACACGGTAGGTCTTGCCGGGTTTCATGGTGAAGTACTTTCGTCAGCCATTGATGAGGACGCCGTCAGGGCGGCCGATGGTGCGGCCACTGTCGAGGAGCTTCTTCAAGGCGGTGTGGCTCTTAGTGTACCAGTCGCCGATGAGGACGGTGTAGTCGTCTTCTGGGTCGGCGTAAGGGACAGGGATGAGGAGACGGCTGTTGACACGTAAGCCGCCGAAGCCACCGGCGGTGCGGTGAAGGGCAGTGGTCGGGTAATAGAAGTAGCTTCCGATCTGGTCCTTTGGTTGGAAGTGGTAAGTGAAGTTCTGACCGGGTGGGATGGGACACATGGTGCCCGCTGTCCCGTCTTGCCACGAGTTCTTCCTGTGTTGGATCCCATTCCTATTCACCCATGATCACAGAGATCAATCCACCACGAAACATCCAATATTTAAAATCCATTTACTTATATACATACATATATATATATATATATATATATATATATATAAATTCAAAGATAATCCGATTTTGAAACAAACAAAACACCGAAACAATTTAAAGAACATGTGCAAAAAAGGAAAGATTCGAAGGAATAATACCATAGCAAGATGATTATAGATCGATTTGCTAATTTTTCTTACACATATCTATTAACTTGAACATTTTTAGATGCATTAACCCACAAATAATCTAAGATCAAACGGAACAAATTAAAAAAAAAAAAAAGAAGAGGAAAAAAAGAGAAAGACCAGGTAAAGAGGAAGGGCTCGTCGAGGAAGTTGAAGACATTGATGATAATGTTGTTGTTGGAAGTGGAGTTGATGTTAGGACCGGGGAACTGGCCGTTGATGAGGATGACTTGCTGTGGCACCCCGAGAGGAGAGGCTGTTCCGTACGTCACGTTCCACACGTGGTGGAAATACGGGTCTTCTCCTTTGACCGTCCCCACGGCCCCCACGGCCAGGCATATCAGCACGGCCGCGATTTTAACCCCTCCCATTTCCCACTTTAATTTCCCTCGATATATAATTATATCTCCTCTCTTTTTTTATTATTATATATATTTCCTTTTTTCGTGCTTGTTGTTATTGCTTTTTTAAATTGGGGGGGACTTGACTGTCTGAATTTTCAATTCCTTTTTTGTGTTCGTCTCGTTTTTATAAGGGTATTTTGCATGCATGCATGCATGCATCGTGGCTCTCTCGTCGGTTTCCTTGAATTTCTCGTCTTCTTTGGTTCCCTCTCATTGCGCTCTTCCCTTCGTCCATATGGCCCTCCCAAAATTGCATCACCCTCTTCCTATTTTTGGTTGTTCTTTTTCTTTTTCCTTTGAGATTTTTTTCTTTTTTTAAAAAAAAAAAACTGTCGTAGAGAACTTATTTCGACCGGGGATGGATATCTCGATATTAGGTTCAATTATTTCATCTGGTATAAGTTTTTTCCGTTTTAGAAAAATTTGTATTTGTTGAAATTTTTACGTTGGATTTTGTTCCTTCTTTTCAAATTTGGTGATTATTGATAAAATATTCATTTTCTAAAAGAGTTTTCGTTTTCTCATTGTTTTCAGATATTTTCACATTCGATTCGGATTAGAATTTTTCAATTTTAAAATTTTTTATATCTGTTAAGTTTTTATATTATATATTATTCTAAATTTCGTCTTAAAAATCTACTAATTTTTTTTTTAAAAATATTTAAATGATAATTCCGTTAACTTACCTATACTTCACCTAAAATGTTTATTAAAACCAAATGTAATAGAATTAATTCTGTTCATCAACGTTAATCTTTTTTCTTCTTCTTTCATGGGCACACCAATAAATATAACACAAATGCATATGACAACCATAAGAACCGTAGTTTGTAACGAGAGATTGAATCAAACATATATATACTAACTGAAGAAGACATATTCAACCACACTCTCCAAAATGTCGATTTCAAAAGTTTATTTTAGTCACATTTTGATGCCCACGTAGGCCGCCGAAGCCACCGGCGGTGCGGTGAAGGGCAGTGGTCGGGTAATAGAAGTAGCTTCCGATCTGGTCCTTTGGTTGGAAGTGGTAAGTGAAGTTCTGACCGGGTGGGATGGGACACATGGTGCCCGCTTCCCCGTCTTGCCACGAGTTCTTCCTGTGTTGGATCCCATTCCTATTCACCCATGATCACAGAGATCAATCCACCACGAAACATCCAATATTTAAAATCCATTTACTTATATACATACATATATATATATATATATATATATATATATATAAATTCAAAGATAATCCGATTTTGAAACAAACAAAACACCGAAACAATTTAAAGAACATGTGCAAAAAAGGAAAGATTCGAAGGAATAATACCATAGCAAGATGATTATAGATCGATTTGCTAATTTTTCTTACACATATCTATTAACTTGAACATTTTTAGATGCATTAACCCACAAATAATCTAAGATCAAACGGAACAAATTAAAAAAAAAAAAAAGAAGAGGAAAAAAAGAGAAAGACCAGGTAAAGAGGAAGGGCTCGTCGAGGAAGTTGAAGACATTGATGATAATGTTGTTGTTGGAAGTGGAGTTGATGTTAGGACCGGGGAACTGGCCGTTGATGAGGATGACTTGCTGTGGCACCCCGAGAGGAGAGGCTGTTCCGTACGTCACGTTCCACACGTGGTGGAAATACGGGTCTTCTCCTTTGACCGTCCCCACGGCCCCCACGGCCAGGCATATCAGCACGGCCGCGATTTTAACCCCTCCCATTTCCCACTTTAATTTCCCTCGATATATAATTATATCTCCTCTCTTTTTTTATTATTATATATATTTCCTTTTTTCGTGCTTGTTGTTATTGCTTTTTTAAATTGGGGGGGACTTGACTGTCTGAATTTTCAATTCCTTTTTTGTGTTCGTCTCGTTTTTATAAGGGTATTTTGCATGCATGCATGCATGCATCGTGGCTCTCTCGTCGGTTTCCTTGAATTTCTCGTCTTCTTTGGTTCCCTCTCATTGCGCTCTTCCCTTCGTCCATATGGCCCTCCCAAAATTGCATCACCCTCTTCCTATTTTTGGTTGTTCTTTTTCTTTTTCCTTTGAGATTTTTTTCTTTTTTTAAAAAAAAAAAACTGTCGTAGAGAACTTATTTCGACCGGGGATGGATATCTCGATATTAGGTTCAATTATTTCATCTGGTATAAGTTTTTTCCGTTTTAGAAAAATTTGTATTTGTTGAAATTTTTACGTTGGATTTTGTTCCTTCTTTTCAAATTTGGTGATTATTGATAAAATATTCATTTTCTAAAAGAGTTTTCGTTTTCTCATTGTTTTCAGATATTTTCACATTCGATTCGGATTAGAATTTTTCAATTTTAAAATTTTTTATATCTGTTAAGTTTTTATATTATATATTATTCTAAATTTCGTCTTAAAAATCTACTAATTTTTTTTTTAAAAATATTTAAATGATAATTCCGTTAACTTACCTATACTTCACCTAAAATGTTTATTAAAACCAAATGTAATAGAATTAATTCTGTTCATCAACGTTAATCTTTTTTCTTCTTCTTTCATGGGCACACCAATAAATATAACACAAATGCATATGACAACCATAAGAACCGTAGTTTGTAACGAGAGATTGAATCAAACATATATATACTAACTGAAGAAGACATATTCAACCACACTCTCCAAAATGTCGATTTCAAAAGTTTATTTTAGTCACATTTTGATGCCTCACACACTTTCATATGGCCATTAATTAGAATATGACCTTTGGTAGAGGCACTTAGGTCGTGATATTGAGTTTCCGATTTTAGAAAATATTCAATAATCGTGATTCCGGAATCGACCATATATATATATATACGGTTTTCTATTGCTAACATTATAAGATGAAACGAAAATCTAGATTACTATATAATAAGGAAAAAAAGGTATATACTCACCTCATGGTCGTCAAAGACATTCACCTAGAGCCTAGCATGCGCAACAGAAAGAAGCGTGTAGCCAAGGACAACCTGCCGACCATCGTTCTTGATTTTTGTCTAACCTTTGTTCACTTCTTCAAGAACATTTAATTTATATCACATATATGATTATTATAAAAAAACAAAATGAATAAAAAATATATATATATAAAAAAAAAGGAGATTCGGCAAGTCATCCTTGGCTGCACGCTACTTTCGTCACGTACAGGTTAGGCCATAGACGAGAGAACTACAGAAGGGTTGCTCAACATGGCATACTTCACTCGGACTCGAGGGATACACCTATAGCTATAGTTGTATGAAAATAGGGCGTATTTTCATATATATATATATATATATATACATATATATATTCCCTAAACAATATGCATGACTATTTTGCATTAATGCCCTTCTTCAAGCCATTTTCATGTCGTGAGAAATGGAAGAAAGATTTGCTTGGAAAATTTTTTTAGTTGTGTCGTTTTATGCAGTTCCTCATTTACCATAATTCGAATTTATAATTTAAAAAAATCAAATGAAATAATACTAGTAACCTTTTTTTACAAACGATTCTCTTAATATAGAGACAAGCTTTCGGAGATGTTTGGATACTCTGTTTTTCAACATATAATATTTAAATTATTTTTTTTTGTTAGAATATGGATGATTAACATTTAATATCTTATTTCTATACATTGTAGTTTTTTTTTATGAGACAAAGAGAGAAAATGGGAAAAAAAAGGAAAAAAAAAAGAAAAATAGAGAGTATATATATATATATATATATATATATATATATATATATATATGTATGTATGTATGTATGTATAAGAAAAGATAAGGTCGCACCATGCATGTGAAAATGCTTCCCCATTCTCTCAGAGATCTTTGAAGATGCAAAAAGAGCTATACGGCTTTAACAGAGAAGCGGGGCCACTCACTTACCCATAAACGTAAAAATTTCTAATTACGGACTTACATATGATGTAAAAAAAATATTATGTATAATATGGTCTTAATTACATCATAATCTTCTTGTCTTTACACACACACACACACACATATATATATACATATATATTGGTTAATTAAAACAGTTCATGTTTCGGCAAGTTGATGTATTTATACGGGTGAGTGAAATGAGAGAGAGAGAGAGAGAGAGAGAGAGAGAGAGAGAGAGAGAGAGAGAGATGCGGGCGAGATATGTAAAGACAAACAATGTCTAATGACTGTGTGGTGTACCCTTGTGATTTCCTGACAGGTACTCGAAGGGGCACGAAGGAAAAGGAACGTTTTTATATTCAAATAATTTATCATATAAAATAAATCATTAGCAAGATTTATGTAATGGAGATATTTGTGGAATATCATAGTTATTGGAAATGGCCAAAGAGGGAAAGACAGATTTTGGTAAACAAAATCGTGGAATTTCATTGTTATTCCGTTGTTGTTTTTTTGTGTTTACGATATAGTGAATTTTTATCGTCATTTTCATTACTTTTAACGTGTTTTTTTTTGTAATGATTTATGAAATAGAAAACGACGTGGGCTTATATTGGTTATTGTGATAGATTATTCCACATAATAAATATTATTCTGTGCACATGTTTATCATCTCTATATTACCGTCTAGATCTATAGAATACTAATTCAAATATTATAAGAAATTTGTGATGGTGGTGATTAGATATACACCTATAAAACATGGAATTTTTTTACGTATTGTAGTTCTCGAGGAATATAATTTAAATGTTATAAAATATTTGACGGTGATTAGATATATGATATATCCCCCAAAACATGGCATTTTAAAGCCTCTCTCCATATCTATTTGTTTTGTTACAGAGAATATGAATTCAAATGTTATAAACAATAAAAGAATAGATTTCTTCAAATTCTTTTAGTTAATTACTATTATCATATTGTCGAGAAGAAACGGATTTTTTATGGGAAACTTTTAGCTATCGTATTTGATTCATTTCATATTGAGACATCTTCAATATATATATATATGTCGGTTAAGTTCAATGTATTTTCCTTGTAATAACTTCATATAATAATTAAAAATAATATATTTTTCTTTTTTTGTAGCAGCGGATGCTCTGAAATTGGGGGTGGTGGGTGTCGGAGGGACATGCATATGCAAGTTGGTGTCGTGACAGAATAATGTAATCTTCACTGCGCTCTCAGCCTCTGTATGCCCACTATCACTGGTCTCGTCATGTGCTTGTCTCTTTTTTCATGTTCATCTTCTATTTGAGGAACAAAGAAATTCGTGATTATCATTTATGAAATCATAAAAAAAAAATCAAAATAACTTAGAATAATTAGGGGTGTCAACAATTGGATCGGTCCGATCTGAATGCGCACTCCGTTCGAGAGTTTTAAGTTCGGGTTCGGGTTTGGGACAACTCGATTTTTTCGGACCTCTATAATCAAGTCCGAAACCTGATCCTATAGATTTCGGGTTCGGATCGGATTGACCCGGCCCAGTCCGCTCAAAATTCTTTGTAAAATTATTTTTTAAAAGCTCGATTTATTTCAGGTCGGAAAACTTAGTTCCGAAACCCGCTATTTTTTGGGTTGGACCAGTTTGGACTTTGGAACTCGAACCTAAATTGACACCCCTGCATAATAATAAAATACTCAAGATTGTTCTTTGTTCCATCGGGGCATGAAAGGAGATTCTCTCTGTCTCTGCACATCCAATTGAGAATGAACCCTAGCCAGAACTTGAAATTATAAAGTAGCATCAGCCATGCAAATGAAAAAAGAAAATACTAACACGTTATTAAACGATGCAGGATTTATAAAACACCATATCTTAAAGATTTGGATGATGAAAAAGGGATTTAAGGGAAGATGGTGTGAGAGGGAAATCGTTGAAGATCTCTTGGGGACAAAGTCTTGGAATCAAGAAAAAGTCGACAAATTGAAAAAGAAAAGAAGACGATGGACCATTATTCAGCAGAGAATTCCAAGGATTGAGATGCGACGACCAACAAGAGGAATAATAATATAAATTTCGACACAAGATGATAAGGAACCACAAAACAAAAGATTTTTTTTTTTTTGAAAAGAATATACTTCATTGTGTTTCTGGTTCTTCCATTATTAACGAACATTTTCACACAAGGGCTCACAAACAGTTGAACAGATCTTACAAGAGATTTATCATCCAATGCACTTTTAAGTAATGTAACAATGGGCATAAAAGGAGGTACCTTTCACCTTGCACCCCGTCAGAGCATATCAAAAAAAGCAAATGGAAGATGCTCCTCAGGGTCAACGACTCAAGATTCCTGAGGAGTCTCGAATCTAGATGGTGTGTCGATGCCCGCCATACAACATAGGCCGCTTATTAAGATGAGGAGCAACACAATCCCCTGTACCGGAAAAAAAAAACACAGAAGATGACCTGATTAGCAACATTTTCACATGGAATTGGTAATTTCCACCTCGAGTCGAGAGACTATAGTAAAAATGCATGTAGAACGAGATTATTGTCGAACCCATCTCAGAGACAGGAGTTTCAGTCACTTTTATGATTGCCAACAAGTTCAAAATCCACAAAAAGGTCATTTGGAGAACGGGGAGGATAAGGCAAAAGTTAGGCGTGTAATCCTATGGAACTTATATGAGTTTCCCCGTAAGAACGGGAGTCTAACGGAGAGGTAAAGAGTAACTTACGACTAGGACACCCTCCAAAAGCGATGACTTAAATTTGCAGACTTCATCGCAGGTTGTAGTGACGTTAAGTGAGCTGTTTCCTGCAGCACTCTCAGCCAGAAACCTCTGGAGAGTTTGGTATGATGTATACCAATAGGGATCAGAAACATAAAGAGCCGCGTATTTAGTTCCAGATTGCTCCATAGAACTGACAAGTTCAGAGATGGTTTCACCTGCAGAATGGTTAGAAGACTGTTTTATGTTTCTTACTCTCAACCAACTTAAACGAGTATCCAAACGCTAATAATCTCCTATTGCGACCGTGGTCTCCACCACCACTTACCCTCTGAACGTGACTGGTCAAGCGAACCAGATAATTCAGAACCCTCAGAGCAGAGCACAACCAAGTCAGTTTCCCCTTCTTTTCTCATTTCTCTTCTAGCAAGCAAATGGTCCTGTCCATTGTTTAGGTGTAACAAGAAAAAATTCAGGAAAAGATAAAGAGAGGCTGGTGCAAAGTGGAACGTGCAATCCAAACGATCAAAATTACTTTAAAAGACTGCAAGTCTGCTAGTTTCTGAATCCTTCCATCCTCGACAAAGCATGACTCTGAGAACACAACATTGCTGACTCCTAAACTGTCAGCACACGCTTCTTTGAGTCCCGAAAGGAACAAACTTTCCATCCTTTCCTCCTCTGGCGCAGCAATATATGGGAATGCCAGCGAGAAGTTGGAAGCTGTAAATAGGTTCTGAGCAAAGAAGAAGCACTGCTATATGAGAAACCTGCTTCCTTCGAAGAAAGTTTCAACGTGAATTTGCATTTTAAAAGTTCATATAGTCGAAAAGAACATTTGGTTCGAGGAAATGTGCCATTCATATGCCAGTCTTTGGCCCAAACGGCCCAATTTTGCGGTCCAACCTCGAAGAATAATATTCGGAAAATAAAAGATGATGACAATACACTTAATATCTAATATAAGATAGAAGATATAAAAGACATGAATTTAATTTCATAAACAAAATCGTAAAAATATTACGGTATCTTTTATAGCAGTGTACTCCCCGACTTTTCAGAAAATCCATTTGTATGTAATAAGTATTTATGGAGTCGGTCTTCTTTGGCAGGTTTCAGTCACAAGGACCTCAAATTTACTCATAACGTATTTATGAATCAATAAATGTCCTCACCAAATCAAAATCCATGCATATTATTAATATATCTCTCATATAACATCTTCATCTCGGAAGAGAGTAGCTGTACGAGACAGAGAATGTTAAAAATGTATGGAAACCATAGCAGCCAGAGAAATATCTTCAGTCAAAAAAGATGCAGAACACAGGTGCTTATTCTTGCAAAACTAACAATGATACTGATTTTATTTACCAAAATCTCGACAAGAAAATCGAAAGACCACACTGCCAAATATACTAATGCAAAGTTGCAAATTCAATATAGTTCCTCCTGCTTCATTCATCTCATACATAACAGCAGCCGTGATAGGTTGCTAATAGATGGATATATTCTTACCTCTTTGCCGATAAACACGAGTGCAAGATCAACTGGGCGCTGAAGTTTCTTCTCCGAGCACTAAACCAAGGAGACAATAAACAAGTAAGCCAAGAGAGATCTAGAGCATTGGAGAACTAAAATATCACACATGTCGGAGATTGAGAGATGAACAAGTGAAGAAACATACCAGAAAATTTGACCAGCCTCCTTGAGTTAGAACAGAATTTACAAGATCCTTTGCAGACATGACCTGATAATTTACAGCCTCATCCAATTCACCAATAGCAGGTCTGCAGTTTCTCAATTTTGAGAACCATACCCAGTAAGATCAGCAATCTTAGTCACTAATCGAGCAGTTCGAAACACACATATATATATATATATGCCTAAGACATCGCCCACTCCTAATAACTCTTCAAACTGCCACTTCAATTTGGACCATAAAGATTGAGAATTTTCCGTATTCTTCCAAGAGAACCCAAATCAGAACCCGACGCACACATCCGAGTGCACGAAAATTTCCAAAATTTATGAGAAAATATTAGAGAATGATGAAGAGGAAAGAGACGTAACTGGAGATGAGGAGACCAGAGGAAACCAGGAACTGTAGAAGGAGAAGCCAATCCCATAACTACGTAGGCAGCTACAACCAGATCCAGCAATAACGTCGCCGCACGAATTTCCATCCTCATCGTCTACGTCGTCGAACAATCCTGCCGAGAAAAAAAAATCAAACATCCGGAAAAGAAGATCCGCGATCCAGTAACACAAAGCGCCGATCAAGAATCTGAAGCGAAATTGGATTACCAAGCGAGATAGATCCACAAAATCGATGGATTTTTCAGTTCTTCAAAAATTGTACTATCGACGAACAAACAGTAACAAGAGGACAGAGATTCATCTCCGACGCTCAGATCTCGGTTTGTAACTTCGACAACGTGGTAGCAAAACGACGACGTTTGAGAAGCACGTGACAGTTAAACCGTAAATCAGTAAACCGGATTGATCAAGTGGATTGAACCGGTAAAATTGGGCCTTGTGGAATTTCAGGTCCGGCCCAAATGTTCACTTTCAAATAATTAAAGATGGCGTGGCCCAATGCCTTCAAAGCGAAAGCCGTACAGTTTCTTTTAATAAAACCGATAAAAAAGAGAGAAAAAAAAGGAAAATCCATGATTTAAGTTGTATGAATTTCGATACGAAGTTGATTTTCCCCATCTCAAGAATATTTTCTTTTCCTCTTCTGCAATGTGATCCCGCCAATGAAATTCATACCCTCCCTTACGGAATTCTCTCTCTCTCTTCGTTGCTTCGCTGTTCACTCTCTCTCTCTCTCGGTGGATCTGTTTGGTTTGCCGGAAAATTCGTCGATTTCCATAGCAGAAGCTTCGAGCTGTTTGTTTCGCTTTTTTTATGAAGAGTTATCGGAGTAGCGATAGCAGCAAAGCGATTTATGATGCTTTGTGGTTCGTTGCGTGATCGAATACAGCCTTGGCTTCGTGACTATGTTAGGCTCCAATCCCTCGCCGTTATCCTTATTTACGCTCAGGTAATCGGTTCTTTCCTCCGATTTTCGCTTCCTTTGCCGATGTTTCGAATCCGTTATGGCCTAGGGTTCGGTGTCGATTTGAATTGTTCGCCGATTTGTGCATTTGAATTGTTCATTTTTTAATGATCGTTGTTGTGCGTTTTGGTGAATTATCTATCTGATGGATTCAGATTGGATGTGCGTTGATCGGATCGCTAGGGGCATTGTACAATGGAGTTTTGCTGATAAACTTGGCGATTGCGTTGTTTGCCTTGGTCGCAATAGAGAGCAATAGCCAGAGTCTTGGCCGGACCTACGCCGTTCTCCTTTTCTGCGCAATTCTTCTCGATATCTCATGGTTCATACTTTTCACTCAAGAGATTTGGTATGTTTCCCTTCTTTACACCTTCACTTGTGAATCTGAACTAAGCTTTGCTTTTAGGGGGTTATATAAGCTTTACCTGTGAATCTGGATTGTGACCAACAACTAGTTTTTAGGGGGTTGGTTATCAACAACTAACGTTTTATTTTCGCTTCAGTATTTCTTTGAAATGATTGCATATGGCAATCACTTGTTGTTGTTTGTTGTTTTTGATTGCTTATAGCAAGTTGGCTTTAAGTTTGTTTGTTTTTTTTTTTTAATAAAGGAAGTGGACTTTCAGTTGTTTCATGTTGTTTGTCTTTAAAAAATGTTATAGGAACTTGACGTTCGAGACGATTGTTTGTGGTTTCTCTTGTATTAACAAAATATGCCCTCTCCCATGCAGGACCATGTCGCCTAAGACCTACGGAACATTTTTCATCTTTTCAGTGAAACTCACCTTGACGATGGAAATTATTGGGTTTTCTGTGAGGTTGTCATCCTCGTTCTTATGGCTTCAGATTTATAGGCTTGGGGCTTCTTATTTGGACACATCGATTCCTCGTGAAACAGACTCTGATCTAAGGAATAGCTTCTTGAGTCCCGCAACACCTGCCATGGGTAGGCAATGTTCTGGTTCTGAAGAAATTTTGGGAGGTTCTATTTATGACCCAGCCTACTACGCTTCATTATTTGAAGATGGTCAAAGCAACAGGGGTTCACCCAAGGCAGCTCAGGTTTTTTCTCCCGACCATTTTGTGTCTAATCTTGTTATGGTACTTGTTTCGTATACCGGCTTGTCTTTTTAAATTTGTTCTTCTCTTTCAGATTATAATCTTTGGAAGTTTTGAATCACAACTCCTAATTGTGCATAAATAAGCTCCTAAATTATATTTCCTCTCTTTTATCCAACTGTGTTCACATTTCTAGCAAGATCTGTCTCACAGTTTGAAATAGGTCCTGACTTTCTGTGTCATAGTTCAAAAGTGTTTGTGGATGGCACTATATTGGGAAAACGATGGACTAGCTGGATTGCTTTTATGCGTGTACCCAGTTCTGCTTTTTAGCTTTTTTCGTGTGTTTCTCTTGGTGAACAAGAGGATGTAGGCAAGATATTTTCTTTTTCTATAAAGTTGGTGTTGTTCTAGTTTATGTTAAGTAATTTGCATAACACGCTCTGAAATCGCTGATTCATTTGCTTCTCGAATTTCAAAGATTTTTCTGCTGATGCGCCAGTAGTCTAATCTTTGAACCCTTGGTAGGCAAATCACTGTTTATATGGGAACAATGGATCCCCTTCCTCTGCAGAAGCATCTCAGATTAAGACCTCTATATCCAGATCCTTGCAGGCAATTGATGTTAGTCTCCACTCATTGGCTCTTTTACTGTTTTCTGTGGTATTTTAGCTACATCATATTGCTCTTTTTTTTTTCCACACTTCTCGTAAGTGGTCCTTTTTCATTTTCTTTGTTGTATCTTTATCATCCTGCACGTGAACCTCTAACATGTGAATTAGTAGGTAACTTGTGTACATCAAGAACCCATGTGGCCATCCATCTGCCTGTGGGGTTTATTAGAACATACAGATAATTTCACTTCGCCTTAATGTGGGTTCATTCTTCTTGGTCTGCCTCCATTGGGATGCAAAGTACATATATTCGATGAACATTTCACCCTCATGCCCCTTGTAATATAATACGTTGTATGTTGAATATTCACCCGTGTCTGTAAAGTCACCTTCTTACTGTATCATTATTGCATGTGGTCTAAAGAGTCAATTGTCTAAATTTTTTAACATTATACCTAGCAGCATCTTCATTGGAGTTGGAAGATAACTTCTCATTTTACATTTGCCTCGACAGATTCTTTGGTGGTTCTCCGAAACTGATCTCACTTTTGCAGGAGGAGAAAGCTGTGAGGAAATCTGGGATGGCTTCAGTTTGAGAAGTTCTGTTCGAGATGGCTACTGCCTGAGCATCAGTACAAGATGTGTGTGCTTTCCATAGCCGGGATTTGCATATCGGAGTTGAAACAGGAGATGTATAGTTGAACATTTTTCCAACAATCTCAGCCCAAACAAAGCGAATCAAGTTCTTCCCGGGTCTCTAAGAGTGATACAGGAAAGCCTTGCAAAGCTTTTTATCAGCTACAGAACCCAGATTCGAGATTGTCGTCAACAAGTAAGCAGGCATTTCTCCCCCCTTTTGAGTTTCATCTTTGATTCTGTATGGTCAAGCTTTTGGTACATGATAGGCCTAGGGATGCTGTTTAGTTCGATACTCACTAGGGTCGATATTTTGAATCTTTTTCGCGAGAATATACACGGAACCCTGCCTGTTAGTTTTTGCACAATGATTCTTTCTCCTTTAGTGTACATCGGATATCTTCCCTCAAATTAAGATGGTTTGGTTTCGTTTTCTTTCTTGCCATCATTTCTCTAGCTCTTGGAAACATACTAACCTCCGATTTCGGTACGAAAAATTGGAGGCTTCTAGTCTAAAAAACGGGCACTAGCATATGTACTTACCCACCCTCCTTTTTGGTTCCTTCTCATCAGAAAGATATTGAAAGTGAGGGGAAACAAATTATGCTTTTGGTGTCGTGTCATTACATGAGATGGAGATTCTCAGGTTTGTTTTGCATGGAACTTGCAAATGTATCCTAACAACAAGAACTCACTTGTCACATCCCCCAAACATGAAATCTGAATCGCAGATTTGCACAGTACCAAATCAAGACGCTTGTTTAGGCGTTGACTTACATTTGGTTCGAGTCCTCGTTTGGAAGGAATATTCACATGGACATGGACTTTTAAAAGTTCATATAGTCGAAAAGAACATTTGGTTCGAGGAAATGTGCCATTCATATGCCAGTCTTTGGCCCAAACGGCCCAATTTTGCGGTCCAACCTCGAAGAATAATATTCGGAAAATAAAAGATGATGACAATACACTTAATATCTAATATAAGATAGAAGATATAAAAGACATGAATTTAATTTCATAAACAAAATCGTAAAAATATTACGGTATCTTTTATAGCAGTGTACTCCCCGACTTTTCAGAAAATCCATTTGTATGTAATAAGTATTTATGGAGTCGGTCTTCTTTGGCAGGTTTCAGTCACAAGGACCTCAAATTTACTCATAACGTATTTATGAATCAATAAATGTCCTCACCAAATCAAAATCCATGCATATTATTAATATATCTCTCATATAACATCTTCATCTGCACACAATATAAAACTATACATTATATATCTTTGTCATAATAGATGCAATATCTTAAATGCCAAATCAAATCATGTCTGTCTGCTTGATAATCTCTTTGTCTCTCCTCTTGTTCTGTCCTTCGAGTGTGAATTCTGCACAAATCTATGTGTCTCCAGAGACAAGTAAGTTTCTTTCTCTTCTTTGGTTAAAATCTTTCCAAGAGACGAACCATTTCGTATCGATCGTTTTTGTCTTTTGGGGCATGGAAGCGATAGGAGAAGTGAATCGGAAACAGCACTTGGAAGAGTCCAAGATCGACGCAGAACGAAGTTTTTCGCAACGTGGCCATCACAAAAGAGGCGAGCCTGGACCTGGACCGACACCCACACCCACACCATCTCCATGGGGAGGTGAATAAATCTGTATATGGTTGCATCCGTGTATATATATATATATATATATTCAAGTAAAACACGTGCGATATCTCATGTGGATGTGATATACATGTATTAGATAAATGTATTCTGTGTCTTAATCATCGTAATGTTGTAACAGTTTTATTATATAGACTGTGGTAAATGAAAAAACCCTAGCTAGATTAAACCTAATATATATACGTAACTGCAATTATAAGGTGGGAGGGAGTTTATGTAAAGCTCTAGCCATCAAAATCAATATCTGGCATCGCATATATATTTCTATACGTTGTTACGTAAAACCTAAGCGCGTTCTTGATTGCATTAATCTCTAATTATGCAAGAGCACCACTATCTTGCTTGAAAGGTTGTTATTATAACATATGCGGTTTTGAAAAATTCATTATTAACCGATCATATTCGTGAAAGTCTCAACTTAGATTCGCGAATGTTTGTGGGCTTACGGGAATCTTTATCTTCGCGAACCCGCATTGTACATTTCGATTGATTAATCACCCGCCTAACCACATGATTAGTTCATATTTGTACAAAGCCGAGTTCTAAAGAGATGCGGGTAAGATGGGAACATGCAGGAGTTATTGTCGTTTCTTGCTCTCGTCTTTGTTTTCAGCGGAAGAGATGCGAGGAGAGGAGATCAATGGCATCAGGGACGGCTCGGACATGATCAATGTATCGCCGAGTTTCTCAGGGCGTGGGAGAAGTAGAATGGTGGCGCCACCTGCTGCTCCATCTCCATCTCCATCTCCACCTCCATGCGCAGGCCCATAACTCGCTGCTCTGCAACCTGTCTTTCGTATCCTTCATCATTTCGATCGACGGGTACCCATTTATTTTTTTTTTACAAAGTTTTTTGATGAATTATGAAAAGGGTTGATTAGTTTTTTTTTTTTTTTTTTGGAGACGAGCTCCATAGAATCAAGTCGTCATATCCTGTTACCTTAGAATCGTTATCGGGAGCTCCATCATCTATTTAGCACTGCTTTAGTTAAGAACCCTAATATCATCTATCTAAATCATATTGAGGCGAGAAAGTTATATGTGCTTGCCCTCGTTTGTATTTCCTGAATCAGAATAATTTTCCACAGCTGAAACTGTTACAGATACACGGACCATTACATATATCATAAGATCTCAACTCCCAAACTGAAACCAGATATGTCTGAAATGAAGAAATCTTTTGTTGTCTCCGGCTAAAACCCAAAACTGAAACCAAAAACACATCCCACCTTTGCTTCTTCCTCTTCTTCATCCTCGACGCATTCACAAGGCAGGAACATCATCAACATCAGAAAAACAGAACCAATATAAAAAAAGAGAGGGAAAGATTGATAGATGTTGACATGAAAGGAAATAAACTTCTAGAGGGCAGTAAAGCTCCTAAAACCAGAAGGGTTGTGGCATCTTTTCCATGGTTTGATTCCAAGAAGCCTCCTCTCCCCCTACACCACAGCAAATTCATCACCTTCTCAGCTCTATTCAAATTTGTGTCCAGAGCAAATAGCCGCACAATAGACACCACCACAAAGCAGAGCCGATGTAAGGGCTATAATCAGATAGCTTGTTCCTTCTTTCTCGCGTTTTGAGGTACCATTACAATGTCGGGATTATATACGAGGACCAAGCTCTGCCGTGAGCCACATGGCAGAAGCTAGCAACCGTTTGGTGAAGCCATGACTTGCTTAGTGTTGTTAGAGTGACCCTCGGTTTTAGCAGCTGAACCATTTTCAGCAACCTTGAGATCATCCGTAGATTTATTTGCAGACTCTGCAGTTGCAGAGCCATTTATAGGTTCCTTCTTGTCATCAGTAGTTTTCCCTGCCCATACCTGTGATCCAACTTGATATCAGACTACAAAAAGAAAGCTGAACTGCAGAATTTAATGGAATTGACTTTGCCTTGCCTGCTTCTGGGTCTGCTGCTGCTGCTGTTGCTTAGCTTTCTTCTCTTGGATTGTCTTTTGCCGAACCTCGTAGAATGAAAAATCATCCAAAATGCATGTTTTGCTGTTATACTCTTTGAAAATCTTTATTATCTTCAAACCCTGCTCCAGTTTGACCTATATATCATCCCACAGAGAGAGTTCATCACTGGCACAAACAAAAAAAGCCATGGTATGTGAGAAAAGATGATTCGAGAAATGCTAACTAACCTCCTGTGTGTCTCTACTGTTCGTAACTGGCTTATTCTCATTGTTCTCGAGAGTAATGTGCTTGAACAAACTGTTTGGCACATCCTTCACAATATGCCACTTTAGGGGAAACGAGCCAGTCCACTTGTCCTGTTGCCAATACTCCACATTTTTGTTGAAATCAACCGGCCCAATCATTTCAGCGACCCCAACAAATTGTCCACTGGCATTGACCTGAATACAGAATTAGAGCATACGAGCTTAATAACATCAAGAAACATACACATACATAAAGCTAAACGAGTTCAGACTTTGGATACAGACCGAGAAGAAGAGAAACACTGGACAGTTGCCAGGCTTCTGCTGAGCTTCCTGATATGCTGCATCGAGCTTCTTGTTGCCATATGGTGTGCTTGCCCAAACATTATATTTGATGCTCTTATGAATGTCATCTTCACTGTATGACTTGATGACATAGAACTTAGCATCTGTGTAATCCTCAGGGAGATCTTCTCTATTGTATCCTTCTCTGTCAGGAACAACAACACATATTTCGTCTGTCTCTCCAGTATCAGTTACGTCTGATATTCCCATCTGCCCCTTCACATCATAGCCAATCTCTGATGTGGGCACCTTCTGGTTCTTTGGACCCTTTGCCCTAGGTCCCCTGTTGAGCTCATTCATACCATCTATGTTCTCATTTCCATAGCTGTAATTGTTACACCTTCCCCGGACTCTGTTTTTGTTATCTGCAGTCACCCATCTTCCATTTGTCCATGCATCATACCCAGTCGAACCATAACCCCTGCCAGATCTTACAGTGCTTCCATACTGACTGTAAAAATTGCTTGGGTACATCCTATCATAGTATCTCTGAGTTGTACCGAATCCTGTCATTGAAGCGGGCTGGTGCCAACCCTGCAGATAAAATTGGTTGGCGTTATCAGCTATCATGACTGAGGCACTTGTACTCAAGTTTTAAATCCTGACAGCAACTGGACCATGATAAGTCCCAGGAGAACATTCTTTATCCACAGGTGTACATTGCAGCACAGTTGAACAGGATGCTGAACAGATAAACTATCTTCATTAGATATAAGAAATTAAATTCAGAAACATATGATACCATGTAATGGGAATTTGACCCATAGTTCTGATTCCTCGAGGAATGTACATTGTTAGCCTTAGAAAAAGATGACACAACTCCACTTCCAGACACAGGCCTCTGCACATCTGAAAACTTGGAGCCATCATGCCATGACATGGGAGAGTAAAATCCATCATGGCTAAACCTCGGATCCTGATACACAGCAGTACTAAACCCCCCTCCAGAAGCACCATTCCCGTACAAATTAGTCGAGTTAAGAGTACCCTGGTCCTGTGGTTTCCCCAGAGCTGAGCCCTTGTTTCCTTTTTCAATACCACTCTTTGAATCAGCAGTGGCATCAGCGTTCGTACTATTGGCAGGGAGTGTCTTTCCATCAGCACCTTTGTTCACAGAGAGATCCGCATGCGAAGTAGTATCAACAGAGGAAACGAAAGGTCCACTGCTGGTTTTGGAAGGAAAGTAGGAAGGGTACCGGTATTGCTGAGCACCATACAACTGTTCATCACTACCGACAGGAGCAGGACTTGCGGTTGGCGAATATTGATATGCTGCATACCCATATCCCTGTTGATACACAATAGACCCATTCTCTCCATAAATCCCCTGGAAGGAACATTGAGCAGGCGCACAAAAGACCAAGTTGATTAGCAAAGAAGAAACGAAGAGAATGAAAGCATTGAAGTTCATCATCCTAACATTCAAGTCACAAGCAAAACACATACAGAAGTCACGTCCACACCATCAGGATTTGCATAACCTGTGTACTCGTACTCAGTCCAATCGTGACCATTCCCATATCCTGAAAAGCTTGAAAATTTGTCATCCAATTCGTATATTTAAGCAGTATTGAGATCAAGGAGGGATATATGGATCTAACCACCAAAATAGTAGGGCTGATAGCCACTCGGAACAAAGCAGACGGAAGGGTCCAGAGCATCGCTAGGGAGCAATGGAGTCAAAGATCGATCAAAAGAAGAAAGTTGACCATTCGAATCCACAGCTCCATACTTGTAAACTGCAGTCTGCACAGATAAACCGGACTCAACATGTTGAACAGTATGCAACAGTAAAAAAACTGCAGACATAGATACAGAATCAACTGCTTCATACCTTCTTACTCGGCTCGGAGATCTCCAGAGTCTTTGTTTGAGAATCCAATGACATTTTCTGCAGCAACTCGGCAGTTTCTACAAGCATCACGAGTGAAGGAAACAAACAGCTTTCTCTTTCATAGATTTAAAGCAAAATTACACCTTGATTTACACCAAATACAACAAATCAATATAAACCCAGATAAATCTACGTAAAACCATAAGACAAGAAGAGACGAACACAAATCGACAACAGCAAAGCCAGAGAGCTCAAGAGCCGAAATGGCAGAGAACCCAGACCAAGAGAGAATAGAAAAATATCGAAACAAAGCAAGGCCTGATCGAGAAAGTATGGGAAAAAAGGATACGATCCGCGGGAGTAACGACGGTAGCCATTCGAACGGACTTGGGTATGGAGATATGTAGATCCTTCCCGGATAGGGGATGCGACCGGATACGCAGAGAGATAGGAGATTCCAAAGAAAAGGGAGAAAAACCCAAACCCAAATCAGAAAACCCCAGATGGAAATCTAGGGTTTAAGAGATAAATCGATAAGGAGAAGGGATTTGGGTCGTATGGCCCCAGTCGCCAAGAGAAGGGTTTTTCTTCGGGGAAGATGAAAGGGGTTTTTGCCCGTTCACGTCGAGGTATTCAAATAGCTCCACGAACTGTCATTTCGTTTTTTTTTTTTTAAATTTTCTTTGTTTTCTCATAGAAATTTACTTACTGCTTAAGCTTTTGTATATAAAAATATATATATTTATTTGATTTGTTAGGAACCGGTTCATATACTCCAAATTTTCGAAGGAAATAAATAAATTAAAATAAAATATCCCATTTTCCCATTGTTTTCAAATGGCGATTACGTTACGTGTAGCTCACCACCAAATGGGGGCCCGTTCTCGAAACAAGGCCTGACCCGAATCTGACCCGGAAAAAGATCCAGAATCCGATTTATTCACCTACTGAAGTTCTAGAGTGTTACTGTTCATGGGCAGAACGCCACCAAATCCAACGGTCCAGTTTTGACAGAACCTTTACAATGAACGCAAAAAAAAAAAAATTAGTCATAGAAGTTGCACTCCCGGAAAACCCTTCCGGCGAAAAACCCTACTTGCTCCTCCACATCTCCGCCGTTCTCCGGTAAGATTTGGGCCCATTTTTGTATGTTTAGTTTCTCCGGTACAATGTATACTCGTGTCTATGTGTGTGTGCTCGTTTGTTGGATTTTGTTTGATTGCAGCTCGTTGGGATGAAGATTGTTGAAATACTGCCTTTTTCGTGTATGGACGGTATGGGCATTGGTTGAAAGCTTTGTTTTGATTCTGGACGAGTGTTTCCTGAGATTGCTCAAGGTGTTCTCTTCAGAAGCTTGAGTACGAAAAAATGCGTTGCCTTTCTGTATTTCTTTTTCTTTCTTGTTGCAGTATTTGATTATCTGGTTCGGTTCAGAAGGTGAAATGAGTGTAACAATGGCACGGTTTACTGGGTTTCGATTCCGCAAATTGAGTTATGTCTTTTCCTCAGGAAGGAAGATTCGAGTGTTTTCGAAAAATCTACCCGTTTTAAAAGTGTTTCATCTCTTGTGAATCTTCAGTTCCCGAGGTAAAATGGCATCAACGTTCACAGCCACATCTTCCCTCGGTTCCATGGTGGCTCCTAACAAGTTTTCATCGAGCTCATTTGCAAAGAGGCAGAATCTGGGCTCTAGAAGGGTTCGGCCTGCCATAATTTGTGCTGCCAAGGAGTTGCATTTCAACAAGGATGGGACCGCTGTCAAGAAACTTCAAGTGAGTCTATGTTCAATCTTGAAAATTCATTTCCGAGTGTTGCTGCTGTGCTGATGGCTTTTGTTTGATTCAGGCTTTGTAATAGACTGGTGTCAACAAGCTCGCAGACCTTGTTGGGGAGACACTTGGTCCAAAAGGGCGAAATGTTGTTCTTGAGAGCAAGTATGGCTCACCCAAAATCGTTAATGATGGTGTCACCATTGCTAAGGAGGTATGGAATTTGTGCCCCATTGAATTAAATTGTTTATACACGTTCAAAATATTGGTGTTAGACTTAGACTAAAGTATTCTTTTGTAGGTTGAGTTGGAGGACCCAGTCGAGAACATTGGTGCTAAGCTGGTGAGACAAGCAGCAGCTAAAACCAATGACTTGGCTGGTGATGGTACAACAACTTCTGTTGTTCTTGCACAAGGTTGAGTTGGAGTACCGGTCGAGAACATTGTGTGGTCTTGTTTTTTGCATTTTTTCTGTAGAAATTGAACAAATTATGCAAATGATCTTAGAATGGACTGTTTAGGTGGTAGCTGCTGGTGCAAACCCTGTACTAATCACTAGAGGCATTGAGAAAACAACCAAGGCTTTGGTCAGCGAACTCAAGAACATCTCTAAGGATGTAAGAATATGTAGAGATATCTTTTATTCGTTCTGTGGATTAGGTCCATATATACCAAAGGGGTTATATAAGTGTATCTTGCCACTTTAGGTTGAAGACAGTGAGCTCGCAGATGTAGCGGTTGTTAGTGCAAGGAACAACCACGAAGTTGGAAACATGATTGCTGAAGCAATGAGCAAAGTGGGCCGGAAGGGTGTGGTGACTCTTGAGGAGGGGAAAAGTGCTGAAAACAACCTCTATGTCGTGGAAGGAAAGCAATTTGACTGTGGTTACATCTCCCCATACTTTGTAACAGATAGCGAGACAATGTCAGTTGAGTACGAGAATTGCAAGGTATTTTCTCTTCATTCCATTCTCACTGTTTCGAGGTACTGGAATGATATCATTGACTCAACAAAATGCATCAATGAATACAATACACTTGTTATTATACCAAGAAGGTGATTACTGATTATATAACACAACAGTTACATTAAAGCACGCTATTCCATAGGCTAAGGTGTTTTAAATGTTTTGTGTGGTTGCAGTTGCTTCTTGTTGACAAGAAAATTACAAATGCAAGGGATCTTGTTGGTGTTCTAGAGGAGGCCATTAGAGGTGGCTACCTGATCCTGATAATGGCAGAGGACATTGAACAAGAAGCTTTGGCAACTATTGTTGTTAACAAGCTTAGGGGCACATTAAAGATTGCCGCTCTGAAAGCTCCTGGGTTTGGAGAGCGAAAGAGCCAATACCTTGATGATATTGCCATTCTAACTGGAGGCAAGTGAATATGTGGATATTGTTTTATCTATAGGCATCATGCTCTGAACTGGAGTATTAATCTCTCACAACCTTTTTTTTTCACTTTTTTGTGCAGCCTCTGTAATCAGAGATGAGCTTGGTCTTTCACTTTCATTAGACAAAGCTGGAAAAGAAGTTCTGGGTAACGCTTCCAAGGTTGGGCCGACCAAGGAGACTACAACCATTGTCGGTGATGGAAGCACTCAGGAAGCAGTAAATAAGCGTGTTGTACAGATTAAGAATCTTATTGAGGTATACTTTGCTAGTAGAACAGAACAGTCTAGCCTGTCCCTTATCTTATAGTGTCGTGTCTTCTTAATAACTCGGGGTACATAACATGAATGAATATGTTTGTGTGTAGCAAGCACAGCAAGACTATGAGAAGGAAAAGCTTAACAAGAGAACTGCAAAGCTGTCTGGTGGAGTCGCTGTTATTCAGGTGAGTATTGTTCTCTTGTTCGGTTTTGCATAAACATGGGAATGAGATCAGAGACGCTAACTAGACTACTAGAGGTTATTACATCTTTGCTTAAAGGTAGGAGCACAAACCGAGACTGAGCTCAAGGAGAAGAAGCTGAGAGTTGAAGATGCTCTTAACGCTACAAAGGTGATTTTTCTCAGGAGAGGGCGAGTTATCTTATAATTGAGGAGTCTATATATACACACACATACATTATCTGACTAAGAACTGAAATCATGTTCAGGCTGCTGTTGAGGAAGATATTGTCGTTGGTGGTGGTTGCACCCTTCTTCGGCTTTCTTCCAAGGTTGATGCCATTAGTGAAACCCTTGAAAACGATGAAGAAAAGGTAATAATAATAATAATCAAACCCAATTTTCAACGAGAACTAGAAATCTGTAATTTGCTTACTCGATTTTCTATGATTTCGTTGTTTTAGGTTGGAGCGGACATTGTCAAAAGAGCACTGAGTTACCCTCTGAAATTGATCGCCAAGAACGCTAGTGTCAATGGAAGTGTGGTCAGTGAGAAGGTAACGTAACAGAAACTCTCCATGCACTTTGATTCACACCAGATGCTTGAGAAGCTTCTTTTATTCGTGGTGAACAACCTGTTCGGTTGCCGAGAAAGCTGAGGGAAATGGAAGCAGAGAAGGAAGAACATAGAGAAAGAAGAAGCGGGACATATATACAAGTGCTTAACCAACTTACACTAAACCGGCTAAATAACCGACTAGCAAAATCTGATATGTACACTCTACTTTGCAATGCAGGTACTTTCCAACGGTAACCCGAAATTCGGTTACAATGCCGCAACAGGAAAGTACGAGGATTTGATGGCTGCAGGCATTATTGACCCAACAAAGGTGAGTTATTTTTTCTTCTGTCATTCAAAAATTCTCGAACTTGAACTGATTTGTATGATGGATTCAGGTTGTAAGATGCTGCTTAGAACACGCGGCCTCGGTTGCAGACACGTTCTTGATGTCGGACTGTGTGGTTGTCGAGATCAAGGAGCCCGAGCCAGTTCCTGCCGGAAACCCAATGGACGACTCAGGTTTCCTTCATACATTCAAACCCAAATTATTACACGCACGGATTCATACATTCAGGAGCCCGAACTTGTTTGGATCCAACCCATGTTTCATTACTGAATCTGTGTTCATTTGTTTTGATTCCAGGGTATCCGTACTGAGATGAGTGATAAGCCCGTATGCATTGACGATGAAATAGGAGAATATTCCGGCGAGGGTAGCTCGTGGGGACCCCATACGGATTTTGCCCATTTGAATCGAAATTTGGAATCTAATAAAACAAGTTGAAAATTTTTTTTATAAAGTATATGATTCTTCATCCATCGAAAGCATGGTGGAAAATTCTTGGTGGGTTTTCACCAAGAAGGTCATTCAGTCAACGATGTAAGAATTCCCCATTCCTGTATTTTTGAATGGAAGACAAAAGTTCTTCTGTTAATTTGCATTCACTTTCCATCCAACACAATCATTCAGATTCCATTGACTCACTGTCGGAGTCAACTCTCACTGTTGCTTGTACGGATTTTGATTATAATGACAACAAGTTAAAGAAGAATCAATCCAAGAAAAAGAAAGAAAAACACAGGCGGAACAAGAATGTTAGAACTTAGCTTTCACCATCATCACCGCCATCGCCATCTTGTTCTTCTTCTTAGTTTCTTGAGCTTGCTTAGCCATTCCCTGGCTTGTCCAGCGGATCAGAAGCAAGCCCTTCTCGAGTTCAAGTCCTCCCTCCTCGGCCGTACCGCTTCTTCTCCTGATGGACCTTCACTCTTCGGCCTCGAAACTTGGGATTCCAAAACTGATTGCTGCCGATGGGAGAGGGTTACATGCAGAGAATCTCTGATCGTAGCCCTCCAACTCGATTCTCTCGTCTCTCCCGGAGAAAAAATCTCTTTCGATTCCTCGTTCTTGACACCTCTTTTCAGCATCAGTTCGTTGATGCTGCTCGATCTGTCATTCAACTACATAACTGGCGAGCTTCCGGGAAAAGGGTTGGCAAATCTCACCAAGTTGGTTCACCTCGAGATGATCCAGAACAGGTTCAGTGGACAGATCTCTCCCGAGATGTTCCAGCTGAAGCATCTGCAGAATCTTGACCTGAGCAACAACGAGCTGAGTGGTGCTTTAACCAGACAGGTGAGTTATCTTCAAGAACTCAGGGTTCTGAACCTTGAAGGGAACTTTTTACAAGGAAACATACCTGAAGATATCGGTAACTCCACAGAGATTCGAGTTTTGTCCCTCAGAGGAAACAGCTTCTCAGGGAATATCCCGACAAGTATTCTGTAGCTGAAGAATCTACAAGAGCTGGACCTGAGTAATAATTTCTTATCAGGGCAGATTCCTTCTGATATTGGGAATCTAAGAAACTTGACCACTTTGGTACTGAGCAATAACTCGCTTTCAGGCACGATCCCTGCATCGGTAGTGCAACTAAGCAAGCTAGAGACTTTTCGGGTTTACAAGAACAAGCTTGCTGGAGAAATCCCGCCATGGTTGTTGAGTTTCTCCCACCTGAAGCATCTTTTTCTTGGAAGGAACAAGCTGAAATGGAATAATGGCGCAGAGATAAAACCAGAATGCATGTTGTCACAGTTGTCTCTGCAATCCTGTGGCTTGACTGGTAGAATTCCAGATTGGATTTCTAAGCAGACAGGTCTTGATTTTCTGGATTTGAGTAACAACAGTTTAACAGGCGAATTCCCGACATGGCTTTCCGAAATGGAGATATGAAGCATAATTCTCTCGGACAACAAACTCTCAGGGTCTGTCCCGCCTCAACTCTTCAACTCTGACAGTTTGTCTGTCTTGGCTCTCTCAAGAAACAATCTTTCCGAAGAACTGCCCGAGAACTTCGGAGATTCCAGTCAGATCATGATCCTGATGCTGTGGAAACAATTTCTCGGGAAAGATACCCAAAACACTGCCGAAAATCTATTGCCTCTTGCTGTTGGATCTATCGAACAACAGATTCAGTGGTGACGAATTCCCTGTTTTTGCTCCAGATGCATTTCTAGCTTACATTGATCTCTCCGACAATGAGCTTTCGGGTGAAGTTCCAGTGACATTTTCTCAAGAAACCCGGATTCTCGGGTTAGGTAAAAACAGATTCTCTGGCAAGATTCCTCAGATCTTAACCTACTTCAACAAACTGGAACACCTGGATCTCCGAGATAACCAGCTCACGGGTGAATTCCCATCGTTCCTCTCCAGCATCCATACCCTTCAGTTCCTGAGCTTGAGAACTTAACCGGCTCAATTCCCACGTCCATCCTCACTTTCACCCAGCTGCAAATACTCGACATGTCGTTCAACAGATTCTCCGGCAAAATCCCTGTCGGGATCGGAAACCTGGCGGGCATGATTGGAACTCCAAGAACTTACTCGGCAATAGAAAATTTGTTCATGTTCTCGATGGAGTTCAGCGAGCTGATGGTGAACTGGAAGAAAGCAAAACAAAGCCTACCAAGTCAAAGCCTTGAGATATACTCTCTGTTAAACCTGTCAAATAACATGCTTTCAGGAGTGATTCCAGCTTCAGTTGGAAAGCTAAAAGGTCTGAAAATACTCAACGTCTCATTCAACAACCTAACCGGAAACATACCCATAAGCTTTGGAGACATCGAGAGCCTCGAAAGCATGGACCTTTCACACAACATGCTTTCCGGTAAAATCCCGCAATCATTCTCAAGGCTGCAACAACTCACAACTTTGGATCTTAGTAACAACAAACTTCAAGGTCCTATTCCAGTATACGGGCAGATGAGCACGATGAACGATCCCACCATTTACACCAATAATAGTGGGCTTTGTGGCTGGCAAATTCAGGTAAAATGCCCAGAAGAGGTGTCTCTTCCTGAACCAAAACCAGAGGAAAGTGAGGAGGATGCATGGTTTGCATGGCCATGCGCATACGTTGGATTCTCGATAGGTCTCGTTGCATCTTCCTTGATCACAATTTTCTGGTTTCCAAGCCCAACAGGCCGATCCTTCTTCCCAAGAAAGAAATGATAAAAGTGCCGGTTTTTAGCTTCCTCTGGGCAAGGCAGCCTCAAGAGCTGTTCTGTGGATGAGCCTAACAATAAAGCATGAAAGAGTATATCTCTTGGGATATAGTTTAGTTACTATATATTATATAAAAATATCGAAATGACGAACAGTTATGTAGAAATTTGCTGTCAGTTCCATCCAATAAATGCAAGCAACTTTGATTACGTTCGAGCAAACCCTATATAATCAAGTGCTTGGAAACATAGAACAACATGATTTTGCTTTCTCTGAATTGCAGATTTTTCAATCAACAGCATCAACTGATCAAATCTATAAAAACCAAGGCTGACCCAAATGCAAAGAGCTGTTGAATTCTTCTCTGGGTTAACCGGTAAATTCTGTTCTCGAAGATGAGTTATTTATGTTCTTATAAGCAGTCACTCTTTACAGTGGACCAGATATAAGCAAGATTTCAGGTGAAAGAAGCTGCAGAACTAGAGGTTGATGCACATGATAATGATGAATATAAAACCTTATATTTCCAAGTATCTGAACGGAAAAGAATTTCAGTAAACAAATGAAATAGAAAACAGTACTTTGACATTCTTACACGAGAGAAAAATGCTACTGCGTTGAATCGAAAATCATCAAATAACATCAGGCGAGAAGATGCAGACTCGCTGAAGAACACGAATGCAGATTCTATATGTACCTCCATGGAGATGGTTTCTGGGGCTGGAGCCACAAAATGTAGAAAGCCAACTGTGAAGCAAAGCTTCTTCCTGGATTCTCCCCATTCACCTTTCACCTTCGACTATCCCTAAAACTGAGAGATGGATCACAGGATAACACAAACGCAGCTTTTACCGCCGTGATAGCCGACATCTTCTTCTTCACTGCAAATACATGAGGAATCACTCGATGGGAATTCCAACCAATTTCCAGTACTACAAATACAAAGCTGGTAACTTGGATGCAAAAAGTGGAAGTGAAAGTTCATACTTCACTAAATAAACCAAAAGAAATTTGGCTTCAGTTTAGCGTTAGTTGGTCCAAATTATCAAATCAGACAATAATGGATAACATCTTAACAATCGTGAAGAACTTGATTCCCTCTGCAGAAATCCATTTCAATGATCGCTGGATTTGACAATCATAATTTCAGTGCAGTTAGCAATGGCACATAATTCATCACAGTCAGAACACAGTCAACCAAAGAAAGAGTGAAAAACAGCATAAACTCTGACCCACCTGGGCTCAAATTCTCGGATCTCAGCAAGATCCTTCCCCATCAAATCCACCCACTGAACCTTCTTCTTCCCCCTTTTCTCAGCCAACGTTGAGCCCGAATCCGCTTTTCTGAGACTGCTCTTCAGAACACTTTCAGCACCTTGACCTTCCTCTTCCTTTCCATCTACCCTACTCTCTTCCCTAATCTCATTTCCATGACCATCCGCACAATCAACATCTTCATGGGCATCATCAAGATCATCATCATCATTAGCTGAAACAACCGTTACGGAAGACACGTGAGGCGTGTTCTCCAACTTCAACGGACCTGCCGTGTATATGTGAGGGGAAGGCTTACAGAAACAGATGAAAGAAGGGCACTGGATCTTACACAGCAAAACCCTCATCAAAACATATGTTGGGTCTTTGAAACAGCTGATCATCAATGAGAAGATCCCGCTTCTTGTCCTCAAAGTTCGCAACTTTTTAGCCCACTAGTGTGCCCAGATGGAAGAAAGCCAGAATCTCCGAGAAATAGAACCGCGGAAAGAGCCTGATTCGAGATCAGAAGGAGAAATCCGGCAAGACCCAACAAGGGTTTTGAGGAAGAGTCGATAATATATTATATATGTATCTATCTCTCTGAAATGGAGTCCTACATGAAACACTCATCAGATGAGGAAACTGACAAAATGACAGAGCCCACGCAATGCTAATGCAAATTGAAAAAGAATAGATTCCCCTTTACAACAATCAACCATGAAAGGAAGATTGTGGAGAAAATAAATTAAAAAGGCAGACACTTTTTCTGATTTGGGAGACAGAGAGAAATAAAGAGAATCAAAAATCCTTGTAAGAAGAAGATAATATTCCCTTACTTCGAGAATTCCTCTGAGAATTGACAAGAGCCATCCAAACTCAGAACTGGGAAAAGAAAAAAGGAAGAAGCTGTTTTTCAATGGCTCCAAAGAGGTAAATCTTTTCAACGAGGTAACTGCTTGCCCTTGAGTGATTTACCAAGAACAAACTGCCCCTGAAGAAGCCTGAGTTATGGTGGATTCCCTCTGTAATTTCAAATATCAAATTTAAAGTTTTGAGGACCCTTTTTTAATTTTTATTTTATTTTGGCAAAGGAGGACCCAGATATTCAATTTCTTAACATGATTATTTTAGATTAAACATTTTAAAATAGGAAAAATAATGAAAAGGGAAAAAATAACGTGTGCATATAATTATACAATCAAATATTATTGATCTTTATTCGGATTTATGAATAAATAATTTCCGTTTTTTGTTACGGTGTTTTTAATTATTTTAGTTGGTACAGATTATGTATATTCTAGTCAATAGGGCCCAGGACCAGAACTAAGCTCAAGAACAAGCCCAAGCCCATCTTGGGTTGGGTTTCATGTCTTCCTCATTGTCACCACTCCTATAAATCCCCGAGCCGTGACTCGCTCTCCTTCCTTATTGCTCCCCTCTTGTCATTCTCGAATCCATCTTTCGGAAACCCTAATTTGCCGTTCCCCCGGTTGAAGCTCCCTCCCGTGGGTGTCTGAAATCCTACAATATATCGATGGGTAAGAACGATTTCCTGACCCCCAAGGCGATTGCGAATCGGATCAAGGCCAAGGGTCTCCAGAAGCTTCGATGGTATTGCCAGATGTGTCAGAAACAATGTCGCGATGAGAACGGCTTCAAGTGTCACTGTATGAGCGAGTCACACCAAAGGCAGATGCAGGTTTTCGGACAGAACCCGACCCGAATCGTCGAGGGATATTCGGAGGAGTTCGAGCGAACCTTCCTTGATCTCATGCGGCGGAGCCATCGATTCTCTCGCATCGCCGCCACGGTGGTCTACAACGAGTACATCAACGACCGGCATCACGTCCACATGAATTCCACAGAGTGGGCGACGCTCACAGAGTTCATCAAATACCTTGGAAGAACTGGTAAGTGCAAGGTCGAAGAAACCCCTAAAGGTTGGTTCATTACTTACATTGATAGAGATTCCGAGACTTTGTTTAAGGAGAGATTGAAAAACAAGAGATTGAAGAGTGATTTAGCTGAGGAGGAGAAGCAGGAGAGAGAAATCCAGAAACAGATCGAGAGAGCAGCTGAGAAGTTTAACATTAGTGAGCATAGCTCGGGTGAGGGCGAAACCAGTAATAGGGAAAACGTGGGGGCGGATGATGAGAGAAAGGAAGACGAAGAATTGAAACTGAAAAGCGGGGTAAAGGTAGGGTTTTCCCTTGGTGGAGGCAGTAAACACGGGACTGGGAAAGACAGAGGAGAGGGCTCGAAACGGGTATTCGAGGAGGAAGAGAACGAGAGAGTGCAAAAGAGGAAAGCAAGTGGGGATCCAAGGAAGAGCGAGAAGGAGAGAAAATCGGCATTGGAGGAGTTGATGAAGGAGGAAGAGAAGAAGAAGGAGAAGATTAATCGCAAGGATTACTGGTTATTCGAGGGGATTATCGTTAAGGTGATGAGCAAGGCTTTGGCGGATAAAGGGTACTATAAGCAGAAAGGTGTTGTGAGGAAAGTGATGGATAAATATGTCGGGGAGATCGAGATGCTCGAGTCTAAACATGTGTTGAGGGTTGACCAGGAGGAGCTCGAGACTGTGATCCCGCAGATTGGAGGGCTAGTGAAGATAGTTAATGGGGCGTATCGTGGTTCAAATGCCAGATTGTTGGGTGTGAATACAGATAATTTTTGTGCCAAGGTGCAGATCGAGAAAGGTGTCTATGATGGGAGAGTCATCAAGTCAATCGAGTATGAGGACATATGCAAACTCGCCTAGTGACTTGTTTATTTGGAGTTTTATCATATCATATGGTTTGAGCGGCACCTCGTATGTCTGCTTGATTGAGTCTTTTCTAAAGATGATCTTGGACATTTGTGAAATATGCATTCCTTGCTAGAGAGACCTAACTCTTTAGACTTGTTGACTGGTAATGCTGGGGTGGGGCCATTTGTGTTCTTGATGATGATCTATAATGAGCGGTAAAAAAACTGCTGTCAGAAGGTTAGGTTTTTCCATGACAGTGATGATCCGACCAGATCCCGGACCTGTTTCTGTCTGGTACTGAATTTCACAAGAGATTTTGTTGGGAGATTCTGGTTGCTGGTTCTGAACTAAAGGCGAGAGGCAGACAACTAACAAGCATTACAGATGTAAGGTTTGAATTTGGACCATGTCCCTGAAGAATGTTTGTGTCGTATCGTTTTCTAAACAATTCCTCACCCTGTTATAAAGTTTCGATCTTTCTACTCTCTCTTGTGTTGTCACTCTGGAATGCTCTCCATGCTCCCCGTTGCCTTCAACCCTCTCGGTCTCGCTCTACATCCAGACAATGGTGAGATGAAAAGGAACACCACGAGACACTAAGAAAACCCATCGTTCCAAACAACTGCAAGCTTAGACCCAAAATTGCAGAAACCGCAGAGAGAAGAAGAAGAAGATGAGGAAACTCCACGAACCCAAAATTGATGGAACCCAGAAAATTTCTTGGGAGACCAAAACACTGTTTTGCCTCCTCTTGTCTTTGATTAAAGCCATTTTGTTTTCTCCTCTTTTTTTTGTCTTAGTCGAGTTTTATAAATTTATTTTTTATTTTCTTAAATCGTTCTTGGATTTGTGTTAAATAATAACCGTCAGATGAAAGCATGGACGGTCGGATGGTATATAGCAAATAGAAATATGACACGTCTGCACCAGACTTAAAGACCACGTGATATCGCCGCACTGGATAATCTCCTTGGCGCTGTGAGAAAATCCGAGATAAGGATCAAGACGTTACCCACGCGCCATCGAATTCTGAATTTGCAAATTCGTCCAAATCCCGTGGGTTAACCCAGGGATTTTGGGGCGGTGCACGTCACGCGCTCAGGGTGCGCGTAAGTCTCGTAAGTATAAAATTTAATTGTCGTCTGCTTGTTTGCTGGGCCTGATTTGTTGTGAAAAAAGCCCATTAATTTCAGTTTACGCTCGCAGCCTCCACTAATCCAATCAAATGGATATTTTTTTAAAAAAATTTTGGTTCTCCTTCAAATACAAAAAAAAAACATATGCTTCATATAATTTTCATATAAAGTTGTATTTTGTTTCAAAAAATAAAATCTCGGAATAAAAATATTATTCAAAATGCACATATATACACACAAAAATACCACATATTAAGACGCTAAATAAAATAAAATAAAAACTTCACACATTGAGCTAAAGCCCAAAAAGAGGCCTCTCGAGCGCTGATTTAGATTTTTTTGTTCCATATTTTATTTCAATTTTGTTTTATTTTTAGAAAAAACTTTGTTTATTAATTATTGTTTTGGTTAATTTATTCCGATTTATTTGGGATTCAATTTTCATGAAAAATATTTATTCTTGTTTCTCCATATTTTTAAACCATATTCGATCTACCAAGAACATATATAAAACATATGTACTATGCATAGTCAAACTTATGTATATACACGTTTTATTCGCATATATCACTACAGTATTATAGACTATGAAAGTAAAAGTGGACAACACTAAACTTGTCTTATAAAAAGATTAAATAAAAAGTAATTACGTTCAAATTTCACAACTGTCCAAGTGTCCATTTTCAAATTAAAAAAAAAAAAAGTGGACACAACATCGTTCAAACTCAACATTCATCAATGCATTTGGCTGCTAAAGTAAAGTTATATTATATATATATATGTAATATATATATGCTGGTCCAGGGGGGCACGCATAATATTATATAGTATTTGCATTGTTGAAGATAAATGTTAAAGAAAACGAACAAAATGATGTTTTGGTCATGGGGGGTGGTTGGCCATTTTTTTCAGAATTTGGAATGAACGTTGGTCTTTGTATTTGTAAATTCCCACGAAACCCTAAAATGGCTGCTTGACCCTCCATCAATCACTCCTCTAAATTGTTCCGAAATCAAATGAATATAATTTTTTTAGGAAAAAGAGGAATTACATTGTTTATGAAGAAAAATATTAATACCGCAAATGTTATAAATGTTAGGTTTGATAAAAGAAGAGAGAAATTCTAGAACACGGTGCGTGGAAACAATTAATATTATATATATATATATATATATATATTATCAATAAAAAAAATACCCATGTGGAGTGGAGTGCAATAAGTAAATTAACTAAATATAACGAACGAACAAAATTTTAAAACGTTTTATGTGAATTCCGTCAAAAAAAGACATAACTATTGGCACCTCCCAAAAAATAATTATATAAATACCCACACCCATATGGTCTCCACTCACAACTCAGAGAGAGAGAGAGAGAGAGAGAGAGAGAGAGAGAGAGAGAGAGAGAGAGAGAGGGGGGGGGT